TGGCTTCATAAAATGTGTTAGGCAGTTTTCCTTCCCTTTCTATTTCGTGCAACAGTTTAAGGAGAGTTGGTATCAGTTATTCTTTAAAGGTCTGATAGAATTCAGCAGAGAATCCATCAGGTCCTGGCCTTTTCTTTTTGGGGAGACTCTTGATTGCTGCTTCAATTTCATTTTGTGTTATAGATCTATTCAGGTGATTAATGTCCTCTTGGTTCAGTTTTGGATGAACATATGTATCTAGAAATCTGTCCATTTCTTTAAGATTTTCAATCTTATTTGAATATAGGTTCTCGAAGTAGTCTCTGATGATTTCCTGGACTTCCATGGTGTTTGTTGTTATCTCCCCTTTTGCATTCCTGATTCTACTGATTTGGGTTTTTTCTCTCCTCATTTTAGTCAGGTTTTCCAGGCGTCTGTCGCTCTTGTTTATTTTTTCAAAGAACCAACTTTTTGTTTCATTAATTCTTTGTATGGTTTTTTTGGTTTCTATTTTGTTGATTTCAGCTCTTATTTTTATTATTTCTTTCCTTCTATTTGTTTTGGGATTTTTCTTGTTCTTGTTTTTCTAGGAGTTTGAGATGTATCATTAGGTCATTGATTTAGGATCTTTCAGTCTTTTTAATCTATGCACTCATGGCTATAAACTTTCCTCTCAGGACTGCCTTTGCTGTGTCCCATAGGTTCCAGTAAGTTGTGTTTTCATTTTCATTGACTTCCAGGAACTTTTTAATTTCCTCTTTTTTTTCATCAATGACCCATTGTTCATTAAGTAATGAGTTATTCAGTTTTCAGCTGTTTGCATGTTTTTTGTCTTTACTTTTGTTGTTGAGTTCTAGTTTTATCGCATTGGGATCACTTGTTTTGTGGCCCTCTCTCCCTGTGGTCTCCTCACTAACTACTGTCCCTCAGGTCACTCTTCCACCTGTTCTTTTCCTTTTCCACCCAGCATACCATCCCACAGGGCTCCCCAGATGCAGGACCAGGGCAGGGAAGGGATTGCCATTACAGGCTTTCAGCAAGCAAATAACCCTGGAGGTCACATCACACATCCCTGTTGTTGGTACTGTGATGGGCGCTTCCCTCTCTAGCCCCTGTCCCATCCTCACCCCCAGCTTCCAACTTTTCTGATGCCGGGGCCCCCTGTGTACTGCACCCCAAGCAGCTTTCCAGAGCTCCATGCCACCCCATCCAGGGTGTACCCTGGGTCTGGCCACACCTTTCTGTCCAGCCCTGCCTCCTAAGGTCACAAGAAGCACCTCTTCAGTGAAGAGGGACCTGGGGACTAACTGACGCGCCCCCCCCCCCCGTGACCTTGAGGCCCCACGCCCGGCTGTGATCGCTCCCGAAGCTGGACTTGTCTGTCTGGCCGAGTCCGACGGTCCTGGTGGCACTCGCTCTCCTCTGCCCCTCCCCCTCACGGCCCGTCCCCATTCTGCCGCCGCGGGCGGCGGTCACTGCGCGTCCAGCCGTGCTTGGCTTGCAGCCAGCCCACCAGGCCCGCGGCTGCGCAGTGAGCTTCCTCTGCCTCAGCCTCAGCCCCAGCCCCGCCCCACTGCGCTGGCCCCGCCCCCGCGCCGCCCGAAGCGCCCCAGGCTCCCAGTCCCCGGTCACAGCTCAACCGCGAGGACGTGGTGTCTTCTCTGGGTCTGGACCCCGAGGGCCTGGCCAGACTTTGCACAAGGCGGCCGCACCCACCTCCGTAACTTGCACAGGAGGATCACACAAGCATCTGTGGGGGGGTACTCCTCAGAGTCCCTACCCCTCAAGAAGAACTGGGACGCCCAGCCTGCGCATGGGGGCCAGTGAGAGGATGGGGTGCAGGGCCTGCCCCCTTCCTTCTGCCGTTCCTCACTCCCTGCCCTCTCAGGCTGACAGCCAGGGGTCAGGAAGCAACAAGTCCAGCACTTCCTGTTTGGGGTTATTACTAAAGAACTGAACATGTGAACAAAGACTTGCCCCAGCAATGCCTCATCCAGCCAGAAGCCATGGCCACCCCAAGCCACTGCCTCTTGGGTTGCAGGGACTGCTGTGCAGCTCCTCTTGCGGTGAATGGCACGTGTGTGGCACAGCTGCCTCAGAGCCCCACAGGGCTCTCCACCCCCTCCCCAAAAGGCAGTTGAGCTCATCGCATCCTGTTGGAAACCCACAATGAGGGTCACCTGCGCTTGGAGCCACTGCCCCCTGCCCTTGGACTAAAGCTGGCCAGCTGGAGAGATGGCGACAAGAAGCAAGAGGAGTTAGAGATAGCAGGCTGGCCAGAGCTAGCCAGGGGCACTACTGCATGGGAGTGGAGAGCCAGGCTGAGCTGGGGGAGGGAATATGCTAGAGGGAGTCAGCCTTACTGCAGTGGATGACCCCTGGCCTGGTACAAGTCACACACCCCAACACACAAACATCATACAAATGTGCACACACACAAACACAAATGCACACATAAAGGAACATGGGCTCATACACCTAACTCCACATAGAAACACATGTGAGCACATGTGCACACACCCATGTACCAATACATGCTGTAGCGTGAGCGTACACACACAATATGCACACACGCTTGGCCATACTCAGCATGTAGGAGCCTCTTGCTACCACCAGCAGGGACACCCAGCTCATGACCAGCAAGTGGGTTCCAGGGGCTGGACCAGAGCCGGGAGGGTGCCTCCCCACTGCCCCATGAGCCCTCTGTCCCCGAAGCTGGGTCTGGGGCACACAGCAGTTCTGGGCCTCTACCTACACAGGCTAATGTTTCTCTTCTGCTCGAATCCGAGAGTCCAGTTGTCCACAGCGGCAACATTCCAAGGCACACACCAGAGATCTCCCGTGGTGTAGGGTGGAGACCTTGTGTTTTTTACCACTAGGACTGGCCGCTGGAAATCACCTGGAACCAGGTGCTAATATTCACTTGCCGAATGAATAAAGAGCCTTCAGGGTGTCTCAGGCCAGGTCAGGTTGGGAGTTAAGATGAGTCCCAAATGACCTCTGGCTTGCTGGGGTCCTGCAGAGAGGGCAGCTCTGCCCAGAAATATGTCCTGGGATGAAGTCCACCTGGCCTGAAAAGAGCTGGAAGACAGCACTGAAGGGACCTGACTGTACCCTGTCTGTGCTGTGACTGGGGCCTGGGAGAGGGGCACTCACAAGGCCCCAATCCACAACCTCAGAGAGGACCCAGGAGAGCTGGGTATAAGGACAACCGTGTGCAGGGTGTAGGTTCAAGGCCCCTGACATCCACCCACAGTGACCCAGGATACTAGGGCAATGAGGAACCTGTGACCAATTTGAGTGTTGTTCTGAGCTCCAGATTTTTAAAAATAAGCACCGTAACTGAGATGCAATTCACACACCATAGAGTCCATCCATTTACAGTGTATAATTCCGTGGTTTAGCATAGAGATATGTGACCACACTACAATCAATTTTAGAACATTTTTATCACCCCAAAAAGAAACTTCATAACCATTAGCAGTCAATCCCTATTCCCCCTTTTCCTAAGACCCTGGCAACTTTTGATTTGCTTATTCTGGACATTTCATACAAATTGACTTGTACGATGACATGTGGTCTTTTGTGTCTGAGTTCTTTCACTCGCTATGGTATTTTCTGGGTTCATACACATTCTACAATATATCAATGCCTCATTCCTTTTCGTTGCCCAATAACACCCCACTGATAGGGTGGAGATGTAGCTCAGTGGAAGAACATTTGCTGCCCGTGTGAAAGGCCTTAGGTTCTAGCTGCAGAGCTGAAAAAATTAACTGTGTGAATTTACCATCTTTTCTTGTTCATGCATTGGTTGATAGGCATCTGGCTTACATCTAAATTTAACTGCTACAAATAATGCTGCTGTAAACATCGGTGGACACATATCTGAGACTTCTTGCTTTTGATTCTTTTGGGTATGTACCTAAGAGTAGAATTGCTGGTCACGTGGTAACTCAGTGTCTATCCATTTGAAGAACTGCCAAGTTTACACCAAAGCATCTCTGCCCTTTCCAATTCCCATTGCAGCAGGTGCAGGTTAATTTCTGCACATTTCACCACCACCACCACCACACCACCACCCCACCCCCCGCCCCCCAATTCCGATTAGTGACTTGGAAACTAGGAACATCTACAAGTGCCTTGTGAGAGTAACAGCTCCCATGAAGGGGCTAAGCCTTTCTTGCAAGCCTCCAGCTGAACCAGCACTGAGTTCATTTGGCTGTAATGATACTGGCACATGGCACCATCGCTCAGCAAACAGAATGAATTTGTCGTGATGGTTCAGGTTACTCAAGATTTCCCTCGGGGAAGGGGAGAGAAGAAACATAAGTGCCTTGGTTTACCACGTCAGGGTAACTTTTGCCCACTGTGCAAGGTGGTGGGCACCTTGGAGATGGCATCTCCAAGGTTGTGTGGCCATGACTTCACTCTGCCAAGGACCCTGAGAAGTCACTAGAACGTACAGAGCGGCTCCAGTAAACCTCATCCGGTGTGTTTACGGAATCTCACTAGCAGACAAGTGCAAGCGTGCAGTTCAGGTTCACACAGATGGATCCCTTAGGCTCTCGAGTATGGATACACTGATCAAGAGTCAAATTCCCTGGAGGGCTAAGGGCTGCTTCCAAGCAGGAACTTTCTGCTGCCAAAGTTGGACCTTGGGCTGGACTCTTCCCCACAGTTACCATCCCTTGTGTGACGGCCACCCAGGGGGTGTCACTTGCACTTCCCTGATGACTACCGATGCTAAGCCTCCCTTCCTGTGCTTGTTACCAATCTCTGCGTTTTGTTGTCCCTTCTGTAGAAACGCCCATTCAGATCCTTTATCGTGACCCCTTTTTTTTTTTTTTAAGAAAGAAAAGGTGCTGTGCAGTTTGGGGTAACAGGATGGGGTGTGGCTGAGGTCCTAAAGCTGGGAGGTGGGGTCGGGCCGGCTGCGTGACGGTTCCGGGAGGGAGCCCTGGGCGCGCCGCTGCGTCAGACCGCGGTTTCGCTTTTGGGTCCCGGCACCCGGACCCCGCGCAGGACCCCGGCTCTGCGGCTCCGGAGCGGAGCAGAGCGAGACCCCCGCCCGCAGCGCGGCCTCGAGTCTCTTGGTGGGTCCCGACCCCCGGGCGCCGCCGACGGTCACGGTGAGCCGCCCCCGCCGCCCCGCAGACGCCTGCGCCTCCGCTGGCCTGGTCTGGCGCTGCAGCCCGCGCGCTGAGCGGGAGACGTGGCCCTTCCCGGAGGCCCCAGAAAGTGACCCGGAGGCCCCAGCCGCTGGAAAGGCTGCCGATCAGCGCTGATTTGGAGGTGGGCTCTCCAGGGACCCAGGCCCCATACTGGCCCTTGGATCCCAGGTGTCTTCCTGGTCCACCCTCCAACTGTAGCAGGCTCAGGAATCAAGCCCTCTTAGGGGCAAGGCTACGTCCTCTCCGTCCTGAGGAGGTAGCCAGAGACCTCTGCTGGCCTTTGATGCCTGAAGCCCCAGCCCTTGACAGGTGGCTGACGGAGCTGCAGGCACAAAGAAGGCTCTGGAGGACGCAGCAGAAGTCTGAGGACACTGGCTGGTCTTGCCCTGTACTTGTACCAAGTGGGGGGAGGGTGGGGACTTCTGTTTCCTCCTGAGCCAGAGAGCACAGGCATAGCCGTAGGTCTGTGCACCCTCAGCCTTATGCCTTGTTGCGCTGACAAAATAGTGTAGCCCTGGGCAAGTGACCAAGGGCTGCCCCCAATACTGGCAGTCCCAATGGCCACAGATGGTGTGTATGGCCTGAATCCTGCAGAGGGCTGAGTCCTGTCCCAGCCTGGAGTGCTCATGGCCCCAGGGAGAGACAGATGAGGTGATAAAGTGAACACTGTTTCTGTGTTGGGCAGTGATCAGGGCAGGAGCTTTCTGCCTGCCAGGATGTCCCAGGACTAGGTAAGCAGGGCCACTTTGGAGGGACCAAGTTCCCCAGTGTTGGAGGCATCCAAATATCAACCCAGCCATCTAATGTCCTCAGGAGCATGTCTTCGGCCTTCGAGAGTGTGGTCCGGAGGGTGGTCCGGGAGCTGGACCACAGCAGGGAGCTCATCCCAGTGGACAGCCTTGGGAACTCTACTAGCTTCCGGCCCTACTACCTGCTAAGCAGGAAGCCCTCAAAATCCTGGTTCTGGAAAACCCCTTATACATGTGTCAACCTGTCAATCAAGGACATCCTGGAGCCTGATGCCCCAGAACCAGGTACCCTACCTGTGTTGAGGCCCCACCTGGCCAGATAGAAAAAGGGAGTGGGCTGGGACCAGTCTTGTCACCTACCAGGCTCACCTACCATGGGCCTCTGGTCCTGCTTCCATAGCGAGGGCCTTTTCAAAGGTCCCACTGCCCTAGAGGCAGGACAGGTCAGTAGCTGGTAGGACAGGGTCTCAGGTCTGATCTTGCTTCAGGTTTGGAGCGCAGTGGCCTTTTCCACTTCCATGATACCGTGGATGGGCAGCAGCAGGGCAGCGTGGAGCTGGTAGCCCCAGGACAAGGGAAGATCTCAGGTGGGGCTACATTGTCCAGCAGCTCCAGCACCTCAATGAAAGTGCGCACACTGCGTGTGGATCCAAACACCTGGGAGGCCATGCATCAAGAAAGGTGAGTCCCAGAGGGGCCTCTGACCCTGAGTGTCCATGCTCTTGGGAAGGCCACGGGGTCCTGGGCAGCAGGGGAGTTCCAAGGCACTGTTGTGCCAGCACTGAAAAGGAAAATCCCAGCAGCCAGGGAGCACTGTGATCAACAGAAGGTTGTATAGGACTGAGGCTCAACAGGTCACTGGGCCTGGTTGCCATGGTGTCCAGGCAGTGTCCAAGGGCCTAGGAGTCGGGCAGAGCTGCAGACTGCCTGTGAGAGGGGAGTAGAGTGAACACAGGGCACGGGTGGAGAAGAGAGAATGAACGGCTTCCCCAGGGGTCACAGTGTCAACTCCTTGGTAGAGCTCCTCCCCACACCTACCTAGACACTGTTGGAAGCACACGGAGAAGGTCCCAATGCCCGATGCCCCGCAGACTCCTGGATGCCCTCGCCACTTCCCTGCCAGTCAGCGAGGCAGCAGGGAGGGCAGCCGCTGTGGTGGGCACACCCCAGCGATCTTTCCCACAGGCGCCTGCGGAAGCCAGAGCCCAAGATCCTGGAGCAGCTGCGGAGCCGTGGGAACAACTTGTACGTGGTGACAGAGGTGCTGCAGACACAGGAGAAGGTGCAGTTCACCCAGACCCGCAAGAAAGACGGCTCAGGCCAGTTTGCACTGAACATGTGCTTGCAGGTGTGTGGCTACCTTGGGTCCCTGCAGGCCCCACACGGGCACATGGCAGTGACAGGGGTCTGGGAGGGCAGGGGGCAGCAGCCCAGGCAGCAGCAGGGCTGGGCTCTACTAAGACTCCTTGGGAAGCAACTTACACGGCCAGTGGCAAGCCTGTCACCATACCTAGCCCTCATCCACACACCACAGCCCTATGCCAGAGCCCAGTCCTGAGCCCATATCCATCCCTCAGGTTGACAGCGAAGGCCACCTGAGCCAGAAGAAGACGGTGACCATCCCAGCCCAAAGCATACTTGCGTTCCGGGTGGCCCAGCTGGTCATTAACTCTGACTGGGGTGAGCAGAGGGCTGGGGATGCCTCTGGGGCCCAGACTTTGTGGCAGAGAATCAGGAGGCCTGAAGAGAGCCATCAGTTGGCTAGGGGCTGCTGTAGGCATCTGACTGCACAACCTCTCTGGTCAAGTGTTGAGCAGTCCAGGCTCTGGTGTGTGGGAGTCCCAAGGGTGAGGGGAGCCCAGTGACCTGTCTCTCCCTATCTGCTCCCACCTGCTGCCAGACATCCTCCTCTTCCCGGATGAGAAGCAGAGGACCTTCCAACCGCCTCCCACAGGTGAGGCCTGTGGACCTCTAGTCCAACTATAAATGGGAAAAGCACATTCCTTTGGTCGATGAGACCTTCTTGTGTTCAGGGCACAAGGCAGGCAGCCACCTGAGGGAGTGGTCACCCCTACACACCCACTCATAAGGGGTGACGGTCAGTTATGCCCAGCCTGTGTGGCTTCCCACCTGCCCTGGGCTACCAGTGATGCAGAGGGGCTGGGAGAGCCCAGGGAAGACCTCAGTCCTCTCTGGCTCAGGGACCAGCTCCTGCCCTCCCCCATCCCCGTGCTCTTGCCCAGATGCAGGCAAACAGACACAGCACAGCTTCAGCTTCTCTTCTATGAAAAGATCCTTCTATGACTGCCTCAGTCTCCTGACAGGTCAGTAGCCTCTTAACCATCCTAGGACCCCCGCGGGCTCTCCCTCTGCCCTCTGGTGTTCCCTTCCTGACCAATGCTCTCCAAGATCCATGAGCACCAGGCCTCTGTCCCTATAGATGGGACCTCTGAAGACCAGGTGGTCACTGAAGGCTTCCAAGGTCTTAGGGCAGAGGTGAAGGCCAGCTCCACAAAACTGGAGAACATGGAGATGGAGCTGAGGCAGCAGCTCCTGGAGGAACTGGGGAAGGTCCTACAGGATGAGGAGGCCCTGAAAACCTTAGAGGCCTTGGTAAGTGGTGTGCAGGGGGGGTGGACAGGGCCTGCCCCAGCAGCTCAGGCTCACCTGTCCCATCCATACCCCAGCTGGAGCAGAGCTTCTGCTGTGACGAGCGGGTGGAGCCTCTGGACGGTCCAGCAGGTGCCATCCTTGAGTGTCTGGTGCTCCCCTCTAGGGAGCTGGTGCAGGAACTTGCCACTCCTGTCTTCTACCTGGTGGGGGCACTGACTGGTGAGTATCCCCTGGGGACAGGAGGGAAAGGACCAGGTTCCCTGGTGGGAACCTCCTCTCAGCCCAGGTCTCTCCACAGCGCTGAATGAAACCCAGCACCGCTGCTGGCGAAGGTGCTGGAGACAGGGACCCTGTCTGGGCAGCTCAAGCTGGTGAGAGGGCACGGTGTGAGCGACGGAATGCATGGGGCCCTGGTGCATCTGGGAAGGCTGGTATGGGCAGGTACCCTGGGGCTCAGGCTTGTAAGTCCCTGGTTGCAATCTCCCATCCTGTCCTGGCAGGTGGAGCACCTCGTGGAGCACAGCACCCCATGGCAGGAGCCTAGTGTTGTGACCCTGCCCCCTGGGCTTCTCGGGAGTGGCTGGGGTGAGGATGCACCAGTCTGGGCCCTGCTAGAGGAATGTGGCTTGGGCCTGCAGACGGACGCACCCCAGGTGTGCTGGGAGTCGGAGGCACAGGGCCCCACGTGCGCACTCTATGCCTCGCTGGCACTGCTATCAGGACTAGGTCAGTAATCCTGCATGCCTGGCAGCTCTCCAGTCAGGGCAGAGGGCATGCCCACCCACTGGCAGCCCTAGGAAGGCCAGGAGCCCAACTCAACCACAGGGCCAGTTCACTGCAAAGCTCAGGAGTTAAGGAAACACAATAAATGTGATGCACAAAAGAAAAAACAGTGACTGAGTTTTCGAGGGGTCCCCGGATAGTAGGAACTGTCCCCACATAGGATCAGGAGAGACACGGGAGCCAAGATTAGTCACCTTCCCGTCATCCCACTCCTGCCCGACTCTGAGGCTGAGGGGAGCCTGCTGCGTGCTTGTCTGGGAAAGACGGGCAGAGCAGTTTAGGGAAAATAAGCCTGAACCTAAGACATAGAAGACGGCTTTGCTGCAGGGAACTTGGGCACACAGCTGAGATAGCAGGCCCAACTTTGGCCACAGTGCAAGTGTGGTCAACAGACCCAGAACTCCCAGGGCCATATGGAAGTCCCTACAGAAGCAAGCAGTGATCTGTCCTGCAAATGCCTGGGCCCCAGAGGTAGGAGTCTTGAGATTTGGTGGCCACAGGACTACACGTGGCAGCCTTGGGAATTCAACAGGTCTCAGAGCACAGGGCGGTCCATTCCTCACAACAGCTCAGCAGTCCGTGGGCCCCATGTCTAAGGAGAGATTTGAATAACTGATGTGGTCAGAGTGTTATGGTTGCCCCCGGAAGCTTGGAGAAGCTACACCAAGAGAAGCCTGTCTTTACTTGCCCTTGCCCGTCCGCACAGCAAAGCCCAACCTTACTCTGCTAGGTGGGAGGTGAGGAAGCCATGGTGCCTCCTGCTGTCCCAACACATCACCGACATGCACCATGCAGGATTTGGCACAGAGGGGCAGTATGTTCTGCTGTGACTGGGGCATTAACCCCCCAAGAAAACCCAACACTGAAATTAATATTGAAATAGAAAGCAGAGTGACCCCAAACATCTCAGACCCAGGTAACAGAAACTTACACATCAGCCTCCATGTAGAGAAGCAGCTCCAGACCTCTCAGGCTGACAGTGCTCCCTCAAAACCGGTGACTTGAGAGCAAAACCCGGCCCTAGAAAGCACTCAACAAGCAGGCACCACAGCACTGCTTCTGAGGCCCCGAGACCCTTGAGGCCAGGCTATCGGCAGGTCCTGCCAGCCCCACTGGTAGAAGTGCCTTTCCCAAACGGTGATCAAAGAAACACCTGGGAGTTGCTCAGCAAGGCAAAAAGAAAAGTTTTACTTCTGTAGCAGGTGCAGCCACAGACCAGAGTCTGATAGGCAGAACCCACCCGGGTTATGTCCCTCATGAGGATTGGTCCAAACCTGAGCTCACAGCGCTCTGCAGCTGGCTGTTGTTTGGGATAAGGGCGAGGTTTTCTAGTTCAGTAACGTTTTACAATTCAATGAGTGAGCGATTACTCATGGCTTACAGCTCAGTGAGAAGAGTGATTTCTCAAGGTTCCCTGCAGATGGGTTGGGGGGCAGCTGACATTTTCCCTTAGAGAAGTAGACATACTCAAAGGAATGGAACTTTAAGAGTGTAAGAAAGAAGTTTGAGATTAGGACATCTGGTGATAAACAGCTCTTTGATCGCAAGAACTTTCCAAGATCAAGCCATGTTTCACAAAGCACGTAGGCAGCAAGTCGGGGAGGTCAGCTGGCATCTACAGTTATAGTTAGACATTAACTCCTTTGACAGAAGAGACCTGACTTTAGTTGATTCTCACACCACCAAGTCCCATTTGAAGGATCCAACTGTTGTCCCTAAGATCTGGGACCACCAGTAAAGTCTCCAGGGACAGGCCCATGTGAGAGTATTTGAAACTGGATAAAAACCAGCCCAGTCCCACAGCAGGGCCTATATGAAGAGGGAGCACATGTATCAGGGTGCTGAGCCACCAGCTGGCAGGTTTACCACAGCCGGGCTTTCTGCAGGGGGAGGCCAATGGCCCTGGAGTCTGCAGCCTTGGCTTCTCTGCAGAGGGGCCAGTCCACAGAGCTTCCCTGAAATTCCAGCAGAGGAGTCCTGGTACAGAGTCACACTCCCGGAGGCCATGCACACTTTACAGGGATCCCACACTCTGGCAGAGAGTCCAGAATGGCTGCCAGTCCCTGGACAGGACCAACACAAGCAGGGTGGACTCATGTCCAGAGAAGCAGGTGCATAGGGCCAGAGGTGGCCCAGCACCAAGCAGCCTGCAAAAGAATGGTGTACAGGCTCTCCCCAGCACTGTGGGGGTGGGATGGTGGGGTGCTGCCTATTCACCAAGCTGCTTCCCCGCCCTAACCTCTCTCTGAGAGTGGACTCTGCCCACTGGATGGCCGAGTTGGCTCTGGGGTTGATGCTCACCCCTGCAGTCCGACTCCCCGGTTGCAAGGAGGGTGGAGAGACCAAGCCTGCTTCTCTCAAGGGAATGCTACTGAGGAGATCCATTGGACTGTATTCTGACACCCATCTCTGCATGTGAGTGACTCCAGGACAGGTGACCAGCTTGGGACTGCTAAGGGGCAGCATGAAGGCAGCGTGGACACCCACCTGCTTTACCATCCTCCTCTCCCTTCCTCCCATCTCATGGACTCCTGGCCTCTCTGGCATTTTGCTTGACACTTTTTTGGGGTTTTTTTGGGGGCAGTATTGGGGTTTGAACTCAGGGCCTCACCCTCATGCTTGCTAGGCAGGTGCTTTACCACTTTAGCCACATCCCCAACTCAGTTTTTTTTTTTTTTTTTGAGGCAGGATCTTGCTATGCAGTAAAGGTTGGCCTGACACTCATGACATAGGGAGGCTGAAGCCGACGTTATTGTGGTAGTGCTGGCGTTTGAACCACTTGGTCCATGCTTCCAGCCCTTGAAGCATTTCTTATATGCTGAAGCCCATTTTGGCCTCTGGAAAATCCAAAGTAATGTACTATCCTTGACCTTGACTTCAGGAAGACGCATTCCCTTGGCCTGACCCTAACCTACCCTGAGAACCACCTATAAAGAACTACTAATGCCAGTCCTGATGGAGTTCTGACCCCATCCATTCAGAACTGGACTACAGCACAGCTTCTCCTCTGCCCCGATGAGCCCAGCCAGAACCTAGCCACAGTCTGCACTCTGAGCTTGCTAACCTTGAGCCCTGCCTCCAAACTGACTATTAGCCCTGGTTGTGCCCTGCCTTACCTATTACCCCATATCCTCAGACAGATGCCTAACCTCTGCGAGCCACACTTGGCATGTTTATTTTGAACACTTTCCATGTGGGTGCTGGGGAAACAGGGGTGGGCAATACCCCCTGCCTGTCCCCAAGGACACCCTCCCCCCGCCCCCGTGGGGGGGAACAGCCTCCACCCTTCATGAGGCTATGCACACCCTGGGGGTGTGAGGAGCCCTTGAAGGGCAAGAAGACATTTCAAAGCAGGCATTCAAAGTGAAGGAACCCATCCAGGCAATGACCTGGAGGGATGAAGTCACAGTTTTGGCAGCCCAGAGGGGCCACTTCCTGTCTGTCCAGGTACCATCCCTGTCCAGCCCTGTAAGGGTGCTCACAATCCGGAAGGGGGTGGAGTGCCTACTGCCCACACCTCAACCCACAGGGACAATCCCAGTCCGGGCTGTCCACCAGGAAGGGATTTCAGGAATACCGTCTAGAGAAGACCATGGTTAGGCAGGGTCTGACATGATGAGCAGGGGTCAGGAGGGAGGTAGCCAGAGGAGGGGGGACAGCAGTTGTGGACAGGAGGGCAGGTCAATGTGTTTTAAGCAGAAAGGTCATAAACCAGGACTGCTGTAAGGAACAGAGGACAGGAGGAGGAACAGGGGTGACAACTGCTGGTACAGTCAGGAAGGACTTGACAGGAGGAAAAACTGAGACCAGGCAGACGAGGCCCAGGAGGGGTCAGGGCAGCCTGTAGTAGCACCAGCTTTACCATGTCCCCACTGGTGAGGGGAGGCAGATGCTGTCCAGGCCAGGTGCCAGGTCCAAGCTGGGGTCCAAGGCACAGCTCCAGGGGGACAGTGAGAATAGATCTGGTAGAGGACAGATGGACTCAGCAATTCAAGAAAGGGGACTCGAGGTAAAATGATGCTGATCCTCTCCATCACATGTCTGTCACGTGGTGGGCCCGTGGAGAGGGGTCCCAGGCCAAGGGGCCCTGATGTCCAGCAACAGGCCCAGGGTGCCCCTCAAGTGGGGCCTCTTCTGTAGATCTGCGGCTCTGGGGGCTGGCAGCAGCATGGGTGGGGTGCTGGAAGGCTCCACCCGAAGCTGGTCACAGGGCCAGGCTCAGTGGGGTGTGGGGCAGCCCCAGCGGCCTGCAGCACTCCGGCGCTGGAAAGGGCTGTCCGCATAGAGCGGCGAAGGCCGGGCTGGAGCGGAGCGGCGGCGGGCCAGGCGTAGGAGGCCAGGGCCGCGGGGTCTACTCCGTGCTCGGGCCAGCAGCGCCACCTGCTGGGCGGATACCTGCGCCGCCGCTGACACTGCCGACTGAGGGTCGCTCTGCAGCTGCCCTAGGTCTGCGTGGAGGGGCGGCTCAGGATGGACAGGAGGGGCGTCCCGAACCTCCCCCAGGCGTGGTCGTTCACTGCGCCCCGGCACCCCCCCACCTTTCCAGGGCCCCACGCTCGGCCAAGTTGGGTCCTCACCCTGAAACAGAGAGTCCAGCAGATCCTGGTTGACTCCACTGGGGCTGGCATGATAGACCAGGAAGCCTGGGCCAAAGCAAACCGGTGAGCTCTGGTCCCGGGCACCGGCAGGGAGGAGCTGGTCCAGTTGCCAGAGCAGCCCTGAATGGGAAAGACCATATGACCCCAGGACTGCCTCACCTATGAGCACGGTGGCCGCCCGGCGCAGGCGGTCCTGCGGACTCCGCAGGTAGCCCTGGGTCTGGCTCAGGAAATGGGGCACGTAGCTCGGGTATCGCTGAACCTGGGAACAGAAAGTGTCATGGCAACACAGAAGAGCCAAACTTAGTGGAAAGGAGGCTACAGAGGCGAACCCAAGAGCTGGGGTCCCTTGAGGAGCCCCAGGGCAGGACAGCATGACTTGAGGCAGTAGACCTGCTATAGACAGGGAGCAAGATGGTCAGGTTCTGCTGGGGTGGAGACTATTTTGTGGGGAATGGCCCTGGAACAAGTGGTCAGCAGACCATACCCCCTCACCATCACCATGCTGCTTCTACTGACCAGGCGGTGGCAGACTCGGCTTAGAGCTTCAGGACTGTCATAGTGGGCCACAGTGACCATCTCCTCCAGTAGGCCCCAGCGAAGGGCCTGGTCACAGCGAGCCAGGGTCCATTCTGAGCTCTGGAATGGGGGAGGGGAGCAGGGTTATAGGTCCACGAAGTGAAAAGTGGCGGGGCAGAAAGGGTCGCAGGGAGAAGGGTTGGAAGAACACAGGGCAGGGGGCTTAAGTACAGCAGTCCAAGGGGAGAACAGGAACTTCCCTTCCCATGAGGTCCTTGTGGAAGACCTTGACCTGTAACCTTCCAAGGGGCAGCAGGGTGGAAGTGGGGAGTGTTGGATGGGACAGGAGTGGGAGGATCCCATGGCGCTGACCTCAGCAGTGTCTGGGCTGGGGTCATGTAGGCGCAACAGCAGCGGTACGAGACTCTGCAGCACCAGCTTCCGCAGCGGTCCGCGGAGTCCCATCCGGAGCCCGCCCCGGCCCCGCCGCACCAGCGTTCCAAGCAGGCCGACCGCCGAGGCGCGGACCGAATCACGGGCCTGCGTGGGAGGGAGCAGTCAGGGTGTGCGGAGAAGTAAAAAAAAAAGGTGCAAGGACAGGAGGGCGGCCAGGGCGGAGCAAAGAGGAAGATGGTCTTGGGAGGGTGTCAGAGGCCCAGAGCTGAGCTGGGATCCTGGGGAGAGCCTGGAAGGGGAGGTCTTGGGGGAGGGGGAGGTCTTGGGGGGAGGGGCCTGGGCGCCCGGCCCGACCATGCCTGGAGGGGGCAGCACGATAAAGGCCGGGGTGGGGTGTTGCTCACGTCGTCCAGCAGTGGCGGGAGACGCGGCCTCAGCTCAGAGCTCAGGCGCCGCAGCGGCGCGCGCGGCTGCAGCAGTAACGTCCGCAGCGCTCCCAGCGCCGCGCCCACCAGCCGCGCATCGCCCTCACCCAGAGCGCCCAAGAGGGCGGGCAGCAGCGTATTCACGTGCCGGACCTGCGGAGACAGGGACTAGTGGCCTGCCCCTTGCCGACCCCGCGCCTCCACCTGGCCCCTACTGCTCCACACCTTCCCGCGATTTAGCGCAAGGTGGCCAAGGCCAAGCAGGCCTAACCAGCGCACGGTGGGCTCGGGGTCGCCCTGCCAGGTGCGAAGTCGCTCCAGGATGACCTCCTCCCGCAGCAGACGTGAGGTAGGCCGACTCTGCAACAGCTACACAGAGAACACAGTCAGCGCGCTCTCCGCCCCCGGGCAGACCCCTCACCACCGTTTCTGCGAAATGGGCTCACCCCGGTAAAGAAGGCCATGGCCGTGAGGCGCTGCGAGTCGTCAGCACTGCGCAGCCGGGGAAGCAAGTCTGCGAAGAGGCCTCGAAGGTGGTGATCAGCGTGGGCCACCATGGCGCTAGGGTGGAGCAAATGGGAACTCTCTCTCCATTTGGCAGCCTCATCTTCTAGGAAGTCCCCACCCTACCTGCCTTGCCTTTACTCCGCTCCCCTATGCCTCGCACCTGGCCAGCAACGAGCCTCCTCCTGTTGCGCTGCGGGGGTGGGGGCTCCTCACCTGGCCAGCAGCAGAACGCCCTCCAGGTGGGTGTGGGCTCCTACCAGTCTCCTCCAGCCTCCTGCCTGCTCCATGCACGTGACCACCATGCGGCCGCCATCCCCCGTGAGCAGGGCTTTCAAGGCCTCCACGGTGCAGCTGAGGTGGGGACATCAGGTGAGCAGACTCAGGGCCGAGGAAGCCCTGGCCCACCCCACTTACCAAGTGTTTCTTTTCACCTGGCATGGCTGTGCGGTGGTCCTCGGCGGAAAGGGGACCAAACTTTAGGGCTGTCCGGGGAGCGGACGCCGCGAGCCAGTTGGTGCAGCTGCGTGACCAGTGCTAGCAGCAGGTGCGAGTAGAAGCCTCGCGTGGCTCCCACGCAGCCTGACACCGACAACATCTCCCCAAGAGCGCGTGTGGCCTGCACAGCAAGCGGTTCACTCAGGCTCTCAGCTGTGCCAAAGACCGCCTCAAACTCAAGAGGGGCGAGCGCACCGCAGACAGGCCCGTAACAAAGCCTCTGACTCGGTGCAGGGCATTCTGCACTCGCTAGACTCAGGCGCGACCCTGTAGTCCCGCCGGGGTGACCGCGCCGCGTCCCCTGGCGATGCTGGCTGGAGCCACTTACCGCCAGCGCCTCGAGTTTTGTCCCTGCCGCGCCCTTCAGCGCCCACAGCAGCTGCACCAGCACCTGCCCATTTACGCGCTGGTTCCGGCTCAGGCTGCGCCACAGCTCGGCCGCCGCCCTTTGGGGCACAGAGTAACCGGTGTGAGACAAGGGTCTCTTGCAGGGTCAGGTGGTGAGTTGCTGCCAGGAGGCCTCAGGTGGGAGTGGAGACCACCACCATTAAGACTTCAGAGGGAGGGGGAAGTAAATCTTCTCCTGCCCTCCCCCAACTCCCAAATCCCAGAGAAAATAAGCAGTAGCTGTGCAGACAACTGAGCTGGTCCGCGAAATCAGCTGCCGCGTTAGGACCCGCTCAGCGCTCTGTTGGGTCAGCGACAGTGAAACAGAGCTGGCATTAAACAAACACGTGGAGAATAAAACTTCAGACGTGAATTGAGTCAAGAGCCAGAGGGGTCCGTTGGGGCGCCACAGCCATCCTATTCGCTCTTCCCTCCCAGGCTGGTCTCCAAGAGCGACCCCTGGACAAAGCAGTCGGCCACAAGGCAGGACCCTAGATCTGGGACCCGAAGCAGGAAGGGTGGGGGAGTTTGCTGAACTAAAGAGAGCATGGAAGGGGCGCAGCAGTCCAGGGGAGGGGATTCCAGCCTCGGACGCCTTAACATCCCGCTGGTCTAGGAGCCAGACTCCGCAGCCAAGCGGGAAGGGGGAAGGAAGCAGCGTGGGGCCGCGGGCTGGGCGGGTTACCGGTCTGGAGGCAGCGAGCGCGGCAACAGCGCACACACCACGTCCCGCGCGTGCTCCAGGGCCAGCGCACTCAGCACCCGCAGGGCCGCCCGCCGGGGCCTCCCCTCTGCCAGGCTCGGCACCTGGCCAGCAGCCCGCGCACCAGGGCATGCACCTGGGGGTGGAGCAGACGTCAGTGGTCAGGCCCCTTTAACCCTCTAGGTGACCCTCTCTCCAGTACTCCAAACCCACATGGCAGAAGCAGCTTAAAGGCTGCACTCTCTGACCCCAACTTTGGAAAGCGACCCTCAGGATTCTGGCAGGATAGAGGTGATGGATGGGGTGCTGACCTGGTCCTCCAGCCGCTCCCCCCGGGCCTCCAGGGCTGAGGACAGGGTGAGCGCTGTTGCCTGGGTTCCTGCAAAGCCAGCATCCTCCAGGCAGGCAGCAGTGTACAGGGCGAGGTCAGCGAGGGCTCCCTCCTCCCAGGAACCTTGGGGGGCCTAGGGCAGAGTGGGTGGGGTGTATGAAGTCCTCAAGTCTCCCCCAGTTCTCCTCCTCAGTTTCCCAGTGTCCCCACCTGTCTCAGCTTGCTACAGAACCCTATTAACCCTGTATTGCTCTCAGCCCACTTCTACCGCCCCCAGCACTTTCGCCAGCTCCAGCAACCCTCATCCATCTACTGTTCACATGAGCAACCCGTCCCCACAACACCCCATCCCTCAACACTCACCTGGTAGGGTCCCTCAGAGACTGGCTTCTGGGCACTGTGTGGGGAGCAGGGCTGACTGCCAGCTGTGGGGGCAGCCGCCCCATTTCCAGGCTCAGTTTCAGAGGCAGTGCTGGGTGCCTGGGCATGAGGCTGGGTCTCAGGTCCAAGCTCCCAGGGCTCTGGCTGGGGGCCTGTGGAAGGGGGCTCTAGGGGCTGCCCCTGGCTGGCCTGGATCCCTTCAGCTAAAGCTGCCAGAGATATGGCCCCCACCGGGGCCCCCTGGCCCCTGCCCCGGGCCCATACACCTCCAGCCATGGTGCCCCACCAGCAGCACCTGTCACTGCGCCTGTCAGGAAGTTGTGTCCAGGTCTGACCTAGAAGCAGGCCCCAGGCAGGCCTGCGGGCGGGCCCATGGACAGGCGTGGCATGGATGCCTGCGTGTGTAGGTGCTAGCATATGCATGTGTGAGCATGCGCCAGGGGTGGCTGGGAAAATGTGGAGGTGTTGGGGCAAGGGCTTGTGAAGGGTCCTTTTGCCCAGGCTGCTAGAACTGAGTGGCCAGGCTGAAGCCTAGGTATCTGTGCTCTGGCTCTACCCACCAGGGCAGATCTGGAAGGAGGGGAGAAGAGAACTTAACCTGAACACCCAGCTCCTCTTGCACTGGGTGGGGTGGAGGGGCGTGTTCCAGGGCCATTGTGGACCGGCCTGAGTAGATCCCAGCAGGGTCAGGGGCTGGGCTGGCTTCCCTGCATTGCAGCCCAGCCAGGCATCCCCAAGACAGGAAGGGCATGACAGGGTGCCGTCACTCTGAGCTTGAGGCATTGTAGGTGTGGAGCAAACCAGGCGAGGGCAGCTGCTGCCTCCCAACTGCTTTAACAGATGCTCTTACCGATGCCCACCGTTGTCGGGGTGGGTCCTTCTGGGGCGTGGCCAGTTCTCAGGTGCGTAATCATCCACCCTCACCCCCACAGCTGAGACCATCTGCCCCTTGAGGCCTGGGCACTGTGTGTGCTACCCAGTATGTGTTTGAGTCTGTATCTCTCTTCAGGTTCCTCTCCCCAGGGCTGGTCTGGCCAAGCCTTTACCCTAAATCCCTACCCTCCACCCTCACCCAGTCACACTGGAGGTGCTGCCCAGCCCTAAGCCAGGGGAGCTGGATGAGCTGGTCTGGTGGGATACCTGGGCAGGCGGAAATACTCCTGGGAACACCACAGATGGGAGGCATCCCCTACACCCTGATGGCCTGTGTTCTTTTCTTTCTTTTTTTGGCTTGAACACAGGGCCTCAGCTTGCTGTGCACTCTACCACTTAAGCCACTCTGCCCGCCTCAATGGCCTGTGTTCTTCATGCTACCTAGACAGAGACCCAGTCCCCTACTCCACCTCCTGCCAAGCCTAGAACTTCCCTCCTGAGCAGTTCCTCTGGAACCCAAGGTCACTAGCTTTCTGCACAAAGGTGGGGACCAGGCCCCACTGAACCTCAGCTTCATCAGCCTTCATCCCCCTTAGCTGGCTGCTGGTTCAGCAACTGAGGCCCCCAAGGCCAGGGCCTGGCTGACTTGTTACAGATGCTAGGGTCATACAAAGCTGGCAGCAGTAATGGCAGGGGACTCCTGGGCTCTGTGTAGTTTGGAAGGCTTGAGATGTCCCACTGACCGTGATCCTGGACACAGTGTCCTCACCAAGTGTGGAAGCCCGGATCCATGTTTGGACTCTCTCTGATACCCCATCAAAACCCTTAGGGCCTCTCCCCTGCCTGCCTCTAGCAGGGGAAGCCTTCTACGGTAACTCCCTCAACTTTGAGGTGGACACAGGCTCTTCCTCTCCCTGTGGCCCTGTTGCAACAGCCTCAGATCTGGTCCCTAGGGCTTGGCTGCCTCTCCACATTCTTAGCTCCAGCCCCAGAGATCCCAAGAGCCCAAGTGAGCAGCAGGGTTGGGTGAACAAATGACACATGACAAGTGAGGGCAGTGAATGACTCATGTTTTTTCCAGGCAGTCCCCGGTCTGTGATTCTCATGGGGACCCTCCAGCACTTAAACTGTCCACCAGGGCCTGAAGCTTCTCAGACAGTGCGACCTGCAGGGAGGAGAGAAGGGAGCCAATGAGCAGCTGGGGGGGGCAGAGGGCACACAGGCCAGGCCAGCCCCCCTGCAGGCCCTCCAACTACCTGGTACAGTTCAGGGCTCTGCAGCCGCCTGTGTGCAGGACTGAGGCAGCTCAGGGACCGCTGGACAAAGGCTCTGCATTCTGCCAGGGATGGGAGCTGCTCACACAGCTGCAGGGGAAGAGAAGGGAAGGTCAAAAGGCTGACTCCAGGTCAGGTCTCAGCCGGGGCTGCAGGTGCAGACTGGGGGCTATCACCTGACCCTCTTGCAGCCAGAGTCGCAGCAGTGGCTCCACCTGAGCTGGCTTCACAGTGCAGGGCTCCTGGGCCCCCCGAGGCCAAACCCTCAGTTCTTGCCCAGCCTGGGGCGGGGGTTCTTCTGCCAACTGCAGCAGGTCCAATAGCAGAGATCCTGTGTAGGTAGGGAGCAAGAATAATGGCAGAGGCTGGGGAGTGGAGCCTTAAAGGAGGACAACAGAGGAGCAGGAGGGGCTCACCATCAGAGCCCAGGAGTCGGAAGGCAGCCTTGCTCCCAGGCAGTGTTTGCTTTTCAGGGTCCTCCGTTAGCTTCATTCGAGGCTGGCCTCCCACAGATACCAGCTGCAGGGAGAGGGTGTTGGGATTGCTGGACCCCTGTCCTCCACCACCCATGATCTTCCAGACCTGTCCCACCTGGGCCCAGATGCTATCCTCACCTTGTAGACACAACCCAGGGAAGGCTGTTGAGGACAGGTGACCAAGCTGGTGCCAATACCAATGAGGTTCACCTCACTGCCCTGGGGGGAGAGGATGTGGCCCTGAGTCCCAGCAGGACCTGCAGGGTCCCAGGGCCCCAGATCATTCACTACCCCCTCCTCCACCCCACCTCCTGAGCCAGTCGGGCCAGCTCCTCCTCATCAATGTTGTTGCTGACTGCTATGGAGAGCGACTCCAGCCAGGGCACCTGGAACCTGCATGCAAGAGAGATAGGGTGCAGCTCCCTAAGACGTTCCTGTTTCACCCTGGCCTCCTCCCTTCTTCTCTCCCACCTTCCCTCCCTCCCCCAATCAGCCCAGCCCACTCTCACACTTTTCAAAGGAGCCCCTGGTGGCCACCCCTCCTTGCTCCCTTCCAGGACTTTGTTGCTCCTGAAACCAGACCTGAGGCCGTCACTGTGGGGGAGGCATACCTTCCCTCTCTGCTCCCACCCCATCTATTTGCTTCGCACAGGGCAGGCACACCCTCTGAGGGGAACTCACTGGGCAGCAGTGGTCCTAAAGACCCCACGGATCTCCTTAGACTGTTGAAGTAGGTCACCACTGTCCAGCCTCACGCCCACTGCCCTGTAGCCCAGCTCCCCCAGTGCCAGGGCTACAGCCAGGAAGTTGGGGAGACCACTCCTGCAGGCCCAGACAAAGGGTGAGAGAGTGCAGCTGCTCTGCCAAGCCCACTTCTGGGGGAATGTCTATAGCTCACCTCCGCACACTGTAAGAGTCCAGCAGCCCCTGAAAGGCCTGGGGAAAGGCCAGAGCGTAGGCCACAAAAGCTGCCCGCTCCCCAGGGTGTGGCTCTTGAACCTCCAGTCCCAGGTGGGCACACACACGCTCCAACCACAACTTTACGCTGACCGTCAGGTCCACTCTAGGGCCCTCACCAGCAGCTGGAGCCAACATCTGTGGGGCAGGTTCAGTGAAAGGTGGACCTAGAGTTCAGTGTGAGGCCTGGGAGTGGCTGATGTACCCTGGCCTGAGGGCAAAGGTAACATCAATTATATACATAGATTTCTGGGCCAGTCCTGGGCTTCCTGCTCAGGGCAACATCTGTCAAGATGCGTGGCTGTGTCTGGCCCACCCCTGCCTGGGCAAGAATTGGTCTTGGGGTCTGCCATCTGTAATAGCGCAGGGTTGAGAAGAGGTACTGACCGGATCAGGGGGCACCTCACTGCCCAAAAACGAAGTGACGAAGGAGTGGGCCAGGGTCCCTGCCACGGGCACACCCCGCAGCTGCCCTGCAAGTGTGTTGCTGCTGCTGTCAAACCCTGGGGGAGAAGTCAGGAAGACATGGGAGACTGTGGCGGGGCACTTGGTGGAGGGCCTGCTCCCTTCTCCAGCCCTTGCCTCCGGGTAGGTCCTCACCGCCCAGGTAGCTGTAGGTGGAGGCCGTGAGGCCCCCATCGGGGCCCTGAGCCCGCCGCAGGCCCATCTCCAGCAGTCGCTTATCGGGTCCTGCAATCAGTCGAAGCCGAGCTGCGTTGGTGGCGACAAGGCTGTTGGGGAGTTAGGGTTGTGAAGCCACCCAAGTGAGTGGCGCTCCATCTACTCCGCACTCAGCCCCTCCTCCAGGTCCTCCACGGTGGGAGGCCCCTAGTCCCTGCTCCCCACAGCCCCCTGCGCCTCTGGCCCCACCTTGCATAGCTGACCAGGCAGAGCAGGGGTGTCTCCAGCAGCTGCACCAGCAGGAGCGGCCCGGACACCTGCAGCAGCGGCACCTGCAGGGAGCGCGGTCAGCTGCGCGGCCAGCACTCGCGCCGCCCCCCGCCCCCCGCGGCCGGCCCGCTCGCCCTGCACTCACGCCCGGGAAGGCGAGGGAGCCCTCGGGCAGGGCCCGCACGGTCACCCCGGAGCAGTCAAGGGCCCTAAGGTGCTCGAAGAACGCGGGGTCCGTGTCTGGGGGCAGCACCGAGGCCAGGAACTGCACGTCTGGGGACGATATAGATACACTCGTGGTTGGGACGAGTGGCGGCGGTCTCGTGGCAGTCTCCTCGGGTGGTGGGGGCACGCTGGGGACAGGGCCTTTGGCGGGAGTGGGATTGTCTTGGGGGCCACACAGGGTCGGGAGTCCTAACGGGTTCGTGGAGGGCCTTGTCGGGCACGGAGGTCCTCGGGGGAGTGGGACTGTCCTGTGCGGGCCGCGGGGCTACCTGCGTCCTGCAGGCGGAAGGCACGCAGGAAGCGCACGCAGTCACGCAGGCCCGCAGCCAGGGCGAAGCCACCGCCGAACGGGCAGCGACGGAAGAAGAGCTCGAACTCGGCGGCATCGCGCGCCCGGCCCGCGCGCCAGTAGCCCAGCGCCATGGTGGCCTGGTAGAGATCGGTGAGCAGTGGCCTCGCCGCCGTGAACCCCTCCGCGTCCCGCTCCGCCGCCATCCTGCTCCAGTGGCCGCCCGCCCGCCGCTCCGGGTGACGTGCCCCGCCAAAGAGCGCCAGGAGGCGGGGACCGTTTCCCGGCAAGAAAGGGGCGGAGGGCGGAGTCCGCTCTCGGCCGGCCCAGCTCCTCCAGGCCCCCGACCCTGCCCGGCGCTGGCCTGTGAGATAGGCGCGTTCAGAGCACCCGGGCGGTCCGCGCGGCAGCCCGACTCCTCCTCACGGCCGGGCACAAAGCTGCAACTCAGGACTTGCGTGGGACGGGTGGACAGATCCGACCAGACTTCACCATGGCCTCTGCCCCAGGCCGGGAGTAGCAGAACTGGCAGCACTCGGGGAGCTCGGGATGCGAACAGCCCACGACCGGCTTCACCTCTGTGCCTCAGGAACGCCTCCTGGAGGAGGAGACTGTTTGCCCAACCCAAATGGCTGCCTTATGGCTTCACAGGCCTAGCCAGTGCCTAAAGTAGTTTTTTTTTTAAAGTATTTGACAAGGAAATGTGTTTTTATTTCACAGTATTTTAAGGGTGGTGCCTTTTGTACCGTCTTGCACTCCAGGCCCGTCTAAATTCTTTGGAGAAGGGAACTCATTTGTCTCCTTGAGGTTAGGGACTCTGAGGACATTGGTTCTGACAGGAAGTGACCACACCCAACACCCTTTCACCCAGCTATCAAGTTTCACCAGCTTCAGGCCTGAAGTCTAGGAGAGGAACCACCAATGGCACAAGCACTGAACAGAGGGGCTGTTGGGAGCCTGCAGGCAGGATATGGCACAATTTCATATTCTGGCCATCTCAGAACGTAATGAGAACAGGACTGGGCCCGGGCCTCCACTCCTATGGAGGGTGGGGACGGGTCACTGGGGGAGATGAGAAGCATGTCAGTGTCAGGTCAGGCCTGGGAAGGGTGACATGACGACTCCACATGGTCACAGGGACAAGAGGCACAGAGTAAAGAAACAGTGACTTCTCCAGTTGACCAGAGGGCTGGAGGAGAGCTGGGAGCAAGGTCGTATGGCTCTGTGGATCAGGCCCAGGAGAGGCATGCAGGAGTGAGTGTGTGTGGGTGCGGGGGCAGCTGACAGAGCACTGCTCATGAAGTGACAGGACAGGAGCCAGAGTGCAGTCTCAGTTTTAATTTCAGCAGGGCGTCTCACACACACACAAAACACAGGCTCAAGCTTCAGATCTTGTTAAAAGCAGCAATGTCGACACTCTGTACCTGTGGAAGTAGAGGAAGGGGTATTATTTCTGGTCGGCGTCTGCTTAGCAGTGGGGTCCCAGGGTCAGCCCAGTCTCCTCTCCCACCCCTTGTGCCGGTGGCTGACTTACATGCTCCTCAAACTTGGTGATCTCCTCTTCCAACAAGTCGGTGCCCACTTTGTCGTCTTCCACAACACACTGGATCTGCAGCTTCCGAATGCCATAGCCCACAGGCACCAACTTGGAGCCGCCCCAGACAAGCCCATCTAGCTGGATGGAGCGCACACAAGCCTCCAGCTGGGCCATGTCCGTCTCATCATCCCACTGTGGGAGAAGTGGGATGGGCCAGAGTGAGCCATTTTAGAAGCCTCTAGAACACTAGGGGAGATCCTCACCACCCGCTCCCTTGGACCACTGTGAGCACACCCTCTTCCTAGTTCAGCCCTTGGTAACACTTTCTATCCCTAGATTTCTAAGCCTGACGGCAGGCCCAGCAGCACCTCAGGGCCCAGCACTGAGGGCTTCCAGCCTCCCACCGAGCCCCTCACAGGTTTGACGTCCAGGAGGATGGAGGACTTCGCCACCAGCGAGGGCTTCCTGGCCTTCTTCTCTGCATATTGCCGCAGCCTCTCCTCCCGCAGCCGAGCTGCCTCCTTGTCCTCCTCCTCCTCCTCGCTGCCAAACAGGTCGATGTCATTGTCCTCATCGTCCTCTGCTGGTGTTGCCACCTTCTTGGCCGGGGGCTCCGCTTGGCGCATGGGAGATACATGCTGCCACACGCAGGGGGCTGAGGCTCAGCATGCATGGAAAGGCCCCAGGGAAAGACAAGCCGACTCCACCCTGTCCTGGGGGCTCCTCTTGGACCCTAGTTTCTCATTGCTGGTTAGGTTAGCCCACAGAAGGGAAAAGCCAGGTGTGGGGTCTCTGGGTAGGGGAGGGTGCTCACCTGGGTCTGTGGGGCTGTGGCTCGGTGGGTGGGTGAACTTTTCTCCAGGGTGCTCAGCCGGGCCTCCAGCCTGGCAATGGCCTGCTGCAAATCCTGCACAACTGGGGGAGTAAGGGAACACCAGTCAGAGGGCAGGGGTCAGGAGTGGGACCCCACCCGTCAGGCCCAAGGCCTCACCGCCTCGCAGATTCTGGTTCTCCACTTCCAGGCTGGCGATCCGTACAATGAGCTCACTGTGATCTCCGCTAGGCCCACTGGAGGCCCCAGGGCCTGAGCTCTGCAAGGCAGGAGATTATGGGGGCTCAGCACCCCAGCCTTCTCCTCAGATTCCCTTATCCGTAGCTACTTGGAAGCAGAGCTCCAGTTCAGGCCAGAGGCCCGGTCAGCCCTCACTGAGTCCCATGCTGTGCTTAGGACTGTACTGGAGACTCAACACAGGAAGAATGACCCAGCCCATCCTAATAGATGATGAAACCTGTTGACCTCAGGGAAGGTGGTTGCACAGACCATCATGACATTCTTAGCCAAGCAGAGAGCACAGCACAAGAAGCAGAGGGTCAAACACAGAGGTAGCACACAGCTCAGAGCTACCACAGCCCAGCAAGTCCTGCTGAGCAGCCAAGCTGGGCAGGAGGCAGCAGGACTTACAGTCCCAGGGAGAGCCTCGCTCAGAGCCTCAGGGGGACTGGGCAGCACCGCCTTGAGATAGAAACCAGAAGGGAAAGCAGGTGAGAGGCCAAAAGGAAGTAATGAACGTGCAGGTGGCTGCCAGCCCAGAACTTGCCTCCCACTGCCATCTTGTCCCTGAGCTGGCCTTTGAAGGCTGTGGGTGACAACAGAGATGGCTCCCCTTGCACAGATGGGGATCATAAGGGTCTGATGACAAGATGCAGCTGGTCACATGCTTCCATCAGGGCTTCCTTTGCAGAGTATGAGTCTCTTAGCATCTGCTCAGCAGCAGAATCTGTTCCTTGCAGCAGGTGGCAGATACACAGGCTGTTGCCCACTGAACAGCACATGAGCCCCAGCCCTGAGGAATACCTGTGGCAACCTATGGGATGAAGCTGAGCCCTGCAGGGCAGTATGGAGGCCCAGGAGGCTGACCTGGCAGCAAGGACTAGGGCTGGCAGGTGCAGGTGAATACAGAGGCTGAGATGGAGTGTCTCCTGTTTCCAAGGCAGGGAGTGGGGCTGGGCCTGGGGAATACACAAGTTCCCCAGGGCTAGAGCTTGGGAGTAGCAGGGCCTGGGGACAAGGAAAAGGTCCCTTTTGGAAGAAACACAAGCTGGCAACAGGGCCTGGGAATGGTCTCACTTCCAAGTCTCCAAACTGCCAGGGGAGGAAGGCTCCAGGGATGGCAGAGAAGCACAGGAGCTTGGCAAGGGCAGGCCATCTCCTGGCCTTGGAGGATGCCTCATGCAAAAGCTTCAAACCCTCACAACACCCCCAACCCTGTGCCAGCACCATACAGAGTTTATCAGGAGACTGAGCTCTGCTACACTTCCTGGGGTCCATATGGGTTGAGTGACTTCCCTTCACATGCTGGAGTCCCACCTCCCAGGATCTCAGAATGTAACTTCACTTGAATGGGGTCTTTACAGAGGTAATCAAGCTAATGTGAGATTAGAACCAACACAGTGGGATGGACAATCATATGAGGACACAGAGAAAAGAAGGCCAAGGACAGAGACTTCAGGAGAAAGCAGCCCTGCCGGAATCCTAATCTTGGACCCCACCCTCCCACACTGTAAGATGCAACTGTTTAAACTGCTCAGCCTGTGGCACTTTGTGATAAAAGTCCTGGCAATCCAGTCCCTAAGGCCGAGTAACGTGCCCATTTGCTTGTCCCAAATACCAGGACCCAGAGCCTGACCCCAGCACAGCTAGGTCCAGGTGCAGAAGTCTGTGCTACCCAGATACCATGTTTGCCTGGTCTGAGCTTGGCTGGTGCGTCTGGCAAGCATGGGGTCACAGGTTTGAGATCTGGGGCTAATGGGAAGTAGAAGTCAAGGCGAGATCAAGAAAGAGCCAAGTGTGAGGCCTTGAAGGAGGTCTGTACACCTGACCAGCTGTGACAGACAGAAAAATGTCCTTAGGGGTGTCTATATTTAAAATTCCCACAATCTATACCCAGAACACATGGCAAAGGGGACTCTGCAGGTGGGACTAAGTACCTAGAGATGACCCTGACATCATCCCAAGACTCCCTGTGACATAGGAGATGGAAGATGGAGTGGCCAGAAAGCTGGTGGGAGCCTGTGCCAACACAACTTGGCAGCTTTCCAGAGTTGGAAGACCAGAGCTGACTCCCCCATCAGAGACTCCAGAGGGAACCCGCAGATACCTTGATTCTGCCCCACAAGACGCATTTTAGACTCCAACTTCCAGAACTTTAAGATGACAGATTCATATTGTTTGAAGCCACAGGGTGTAGCAATTTGTTACAGCAACTGGAAACGAGCACAATGATGTGGACCCAGGCAGTGGGTACACCTGGAAGGCCTCTGAGGAGTAGGACAAAAAAACCCTGGATCACTAGGGCAGACTATGGCGGCCTTGGGAGGTGAGGAGCACAGCAGGGAATATTGAGTCAGAGAACACACCAGATGGCAGGCAGCACAGATCCTTGGTAGAAAGAGGAGTTCATGGTGCTGCTGGTCGGGATATGGGGGATAAAAACGTCACTGGCCATCAGTGGAGATGATGCACAGGCAGACAGCTTAGTTCAGCTGTGTCTGGCACTTCTAAGTGAAAGCCTGAGATTTTAACTGAGATTTCTAAGCCAACTATACAGGAAACAGTCTTTCTTGCTGCTTTGCTAAGATGGGAGAGGGGAGGATGAGGGGAGAACTAAGCAGAAAGGAACCAGGACTTCATGGTCTGGGAAAAATCCTCAGTCACTCCAAACTACAAGAGACACGAACACAAGGCAACTCATAGTCAGCAAAGCATCTGGAGAGAGCCAGTGGCAGGTGGACAGCTTTGCTAGTGCCTAGGAAGGACTGGAAGAACCTGGAGATAAAGTGTGTGTCTTGTGGACCCTTTCAGTCAACAATCAACAGGTGCCAAGAGATAGAATCACTGACTGAAGTCCTTCGGAGGAGCCTCCGGCTATGTCCTCTGTGACATATAAAGGAAACCCACAAAGTTCTTGACAATTAATACTAACATAAACACTGCCAGATTGGACCCAAAGGGACAGTCAGGATGAAATCAAGGGCTGCAGATTCCAACATTCTGCAGGTAGGAAGGCTAGTAATCGTTCACCTGTAAACAAAGTGCTATCTGATGAAAGCTGACTGCTGGGCAGCCATGAGCCTTCAAACCTGAACTTTGGCTGAATTTTTAAACTGTTTAGGACTAGGTCTATACTCTTTCTCTTTTTTTAGCAGTACCGAATTTTTTATTAAACTCAGGGCTTCATGTTTGCTAGATAGCACTCTGCATACCCCAGCCCTTACTATTCCCCTTTTTGAACAAGAATGCCTGTAACATCTACTTATGCCTGCCCCTCAGCTGTACAGGGAGCTGGTAATCTGTATTTTAGCTGCACTGGGCACACCTAGTAAGGAATTCTGCTTGCTATAGACTGCCTGTGCCTGACTCTGCCTATGTTGCAGACTCCACCAGCCCTTTTTCTGTTGGGATTTTTGAAATATGACCGCCCTGCCCCCCCCAAGCCTCATGGCAGCAGGGAATTAGTAAATGTGATTAAGTTCAGGGTTCTAAACCAGGAAGAGAATCATGGACAATCTGGGTAGGCCTGCTGCAACCACAAAAATCCTTGTGATCATGGGTGGCAGGAGGCTCAGAGAAATGGATGTGAAGACAGAAGCACTAGCTGGAGGAATGCAGTTGCCGCTGTGGCCACAAGCCAAGGAATGTGTGCTATCTCTAGAACCCAGAGAAGACAGGACAAGGACTCTCCTATAGCCCCAGAAGTAATGCAGCTCTGCTGGCATTTGCATTTTAGCCCTGTGAGACCCAATTTGGACTTGATGCCCAGGACCGTAAGAGAATGAATTTGTAAAGTTGTTTTTTTTTGCAGTTCTGCAGTTTCATCTCGGGACCTTGTGTTTGCTACACTGGTACTCTACCTCTTGAGCCACGCCTCTAGATACAGGGTCAAGTGTGTCCAGGTGATCTTCCCATCCTGTCAGGCTGAGGTGAAAGGTGTGCACCCCCACACTAAGCTTTGTTTGGGGGGACCGAGATGGCATCTTAGAAGCTTTTTGCCAGGGCTGGCCTTGAACTGGAATCCTGCCAAACCCACCTCCTGAGTAGTCAGGATTATAGGTGTGAGCCACTGTGCCCACCGAATTTATATAATCTTTTTTCTTTTTCTTTGTTCTTCTGTTTTTTAAAAGGGCATATCTTTTTTTTTTTTTTGATGGGACTGAGGTTTGAACTCAGGGCTGTGCACTTGCAAAGCAGGAGTTCTACTGCCTGAGTCACACTTCCAGCCCCCAAATTTGCATTGTTTTAAGCAAGAAGCTTGTGGTAATCTGTTACAAAAACCAACAGGAAACTAATACCAGGACACATCTCCATCCCAGAGGGAACGGGATCTTAACTCCCCTGGAGCAAGGAGCCAGAACAGCAGGTCCACCTGAAGTTTAAAGGGCAACCCTACCTGCCTACCACAGTGAGCCCAGCAATCCATAGGCAAGGGGCACTGCTCTCCAGTCCTGATCTTGCCTGGAGGCTACACAGGACCACAGGGCCCCTCTGTGGTCCAAGACGGTGTCACAAGACACCTTGTGAAATAGCCACCCTCTCCCCCAGGAGGGCTGGCAGCCACACAGGCTCCTTCAGCAGGGAGCAAGCAGGAAACAGCGGCCCCTATGGCATGCGCCGGAAGTGCACACCCTGCAGAAAAACATCACTGACAAAGAGGCAGGGAAAGGTGCAGATCGGGAGCAAGACCTCTTCTGTGGCAGTCTGGGCCCAGAGGCCTTAGCACACACTGTACCCTGACTCTGCTCCAAAGGGCCAAAGTCAACAGCACTGAGGGGGAAAATCAGACATGCTGTTTGGCCAAGCATGAGCCCACGGGTGCATGGGCCGTGGGTACTCACTCCGGCCAGGGATTTCTGGATGTTCTCTCTGGCTCTTGCTATGTCGCGCAAGATCACGCTGGCACCATTCTCCTGCAGACAGTGCAGACAGAACCAGTCTTTTTTTTTTTTTGCTAAAAAATCAGAGAAACAAAACCAGAAACAAAACCCCAGTCCTCTGAAAACCCCAAGAACCCTCAGAGAGCAAGAAACCAGTGCACAGAACAGAGGTCCGCAGGGCAGCAAAACGCAGAGGCACTCGAGGCCCAGGCCAGAGGGCTGCAGGGTGTCCAGTCTGCAGGCAGACTGTGCTCTGAGGCCTAGCTCCACACGCCATCCCTGGACCCTCTCCACTAGCCGGCCCCAGTGCCTGGGAATAGCACTGGTATGCTGTCCCGCATACTGGGTCAAAGAGCCAGCCAAGTTCCCCACCCCTACCCCAGCTCCCTTAGCAGAGCCACTTGGTCCCAATATGCTTCTGCCCACCTGACCCAGCCAGTCCCTCCCAGAACGCCACCCAACAGCCTCAAGATAGTCCTCACCTGGCGGGAGGAGGCAGCCACAGGCCCATTCATTTGCTCGTAGAATTTCCTTTCAGCATCATCATATTTGAACTTGTCAAACCAGATCTTCTCATGCACTAGAAAGTTTGTAGCCATTTTTCTGCTGGGAGGGGGAGAAGAGGCTTATTTAGTATGGCCAGGAGTTGGTCCTCCTCAACCTAGCTTCACCTTCCCCACACGCCCTAGGCCCGCCCTGCCTGAGTGCCCTGGGTCAGCCCAGAAGTAACAGGATACCAGTGTGCTGTGACACCCCCATCCCAGTCCCAGAAGCCAACTGTAGGCCAGCCTGGTCTTGCTGGCTAATGGACTGCCAGAGCTTGGTGACAAAGGCCCCATGGCCCAGGGAGAATGAGTGGTTCTCAGCACAAAGACACCAAGCCTGCAAGCTACCCTCTGTATACAAGTGTCCAAACACACTATCCACGTGCCATCCCTCCTCCTTTCCCCAGGTCAGTCCTCCAGACCAGTGGTTCATGAAGCCCTGGAGTCCCAGAGGTCCTCCCTTACAACCACAGTCAAACAACAGCTTGAACTCAGAAGTAGCTCCAAGAATCCAGCAGACAGTAACAAGACATGCAACAATAGGACACAAGGCCATGCTGCCCACTGGATTTTTTTGTTGCCAGAAAGCTATTTTTCACGCACAAAAACTGTTTTGGGTACCAACATACAACAAAGCTTATTCTCCTTCAGTACATAAGTACTTTTAGTACTTCAGTTATAACCCCTAAGACGGTAAAAATTTAGATATAATGAAAGCTCTTCAGGACACTGAGTCCAAAATGTGTGAGAAGCACAATTCTAGGCCAGGGTCAGGCAGACTGGCCCATGGGCCAGTCCCACTCACTGTCTTTGTGCCAATCAGGCCTCTCTGGTGCACAGCCACAACACTCCTACACCCCAGTCTGGGGCTGGGCATGCAGGGTGTCAGACCCAACCCTGCTCTGCTGACAATTCTCTGTGCCAAGGACCTCGCCAGCGTCTCCTCACAAGAGGAACACAGCCCTGGCTCTCCTCCACGCCCTCAACAGGGCCATCTCAGTGAGGAGCCAGGCCACTGTGAGCAGCAGGTCCCAACCCTCCCTGGGCACACAGGGGCCAAAGATGGTGTTGCTTCTCAGGAGTTCCAAGCAGCCAACTGGGATCCCAGCTAGCAACCTCCAAGTCCTTCCTTCCACATCCCCATCCCACCCACCTTCTCCAGCCCAGCTGGTCTGTGCATGTGTGTGCATGTTGTGTTCCAAGGCCAGCACTGCCCTAGCCCCTTCCCAGGCCTCCAGAGACCACTGCTACATCCACCTGTCTTGGAGTAAGGCTCCTCAGGGTCCCAGGCTGAAGGCAGATCTCCCTCCCTCAAAGGGAGGATGGACAGACCAGGGTCCTTCAGAGGCTGCTGGACCAGCCACATGCTCTTGAATCTGATGCCTACTCTTACCTTAGAGGGGGCACCCTACAAGGCCAGCTGGGGTTATCAACGCATGACTCCCACATCTCACCCCAGAACAGTCAGAGACCAGACACCGAGTTGTAAGGCTTCCCACTTGCCCTGCAGGAAACCCTCTTTTCAGCCTCTCCGCCAGGAAAGACTCAAGGGTCATCCAGGCAAAAGGAGATTCTGTACAGAACAGAATCCATAACAGAAGGATTTGGTCCTGAGCCGGTCCCCTTCCCCCACTAACCCAAACAGTTCAGAACTCTATGATCCCCAAGGACAGAGCACTACCCTTGCCCAACCCGACCCCGCATTCAGCTTGGCCAGGCTCCTAAGTCTGGGGAGTCCCCATCTACAGCAGGGCAGGACAGGGGAGGATGAAAGGACCCAGAATACAGACAGCTGCCTGTATGCTTGCAGCCAAGGCCAGGCACCCAGAGCCGTATTTCTCCTACTTGGGTCTCAAGCTGGGTATGGATATGGATGGGCCAGATCGAAGCCCAGGTCGGTGAGCCAGGGTGGCAGCTTCCAGGCGCCAGGCCATGCGCAGGGCCTCAGCTGCATGGTGGCGGCACTCGGCACTGTCATAGGTGGGCTTGCTGAGCCAGGGTGCCTCTGCGTCCTTGTGCAGGAAGTACCAGTAGGGCAAGGCAGACGGGACCTCTCCATCAGCCCTTCGTGGCCCAGCCCGTTTGCTTCCTATGGCGTTCCGGCCCCGCCGGTCTCTGCGGCCCCGGCGGGCGCCCTCTGACTGGCTGGCTCGCTCCTGCAGGCGCACCTTCCCAGGGGGGTGACCGTCAAACAGGGCCTCATAGAAGCCCCTCTCAGCAGCATCATACCGGGGCTTCTCCAGCCACACTTCTCGCACCAGTGCCTGCAAGCTCCCAAGAGGAGGCTGGCCGTTGGCTGGTGGGCTAGGCTGGCATGCCAGCACCAGGTCAGGGGTGATTGCCTGCTGGCCTGTATCAGGAGCTCCATGCCTGCAGCTCCCCTCTGCAGCCAGCAGCAGAGCCTGAGACCATTCCACGAAAGCCCGCTCAGCCTGGTCAAAGCAAGACTTGTTGACCCAGATCCCCCAGGTCACATGGTGACAGGCCACCTGGCTCCCATGTGTGCAGGTACCCCGAGGGACCAGAGCAGGCTGCTGAGCTGTATGGGCGGCTACATCTGCCAGCCTCTGGCGATAGGAACTCTCTGCCTGGTCGAAGAGTGGCTTGTCCAGCCACACGTGGTCAGCCGAGAGGCCCACAAGGGCCAGGTCTTCCTGGGCAAGCCAGCTCTTGGGGGAGCGCTTCCTCTTTTGCTGCAGGGGCTTCCTGCCATCATGGCTCTTCCTGGGATCATTCCTGCTGCTCGTGTTAGGGGCCTCTGCCTCGTCAGCGTCCTCGGTGTCCTCCTGGCCAGGTCCGTTCACAGCTGGCACCTCGGCCAAGAGCTGCTGGGCAGAGGTGGCGGCTTGCATGGCCTCGTGCTCGTGGAAGCGCCGCTCAGCTTCCTCATACTTGTGCTTGTCCTCCCAGACGGTCTCCAGGGCACAAGAGGCCTTCCCGCTCCTCATCTTTGGGTGCAGCGTTAAAAAGCAAGCACAAGAAGGCAGTTGCAACACAGCAGAGGCACCTGCCTCCCACGCCCTCCTCAGCCTGATAGGTGGGGCAGGCAGGGAGGCCTCCCAAAGGGGCTCCTCAAGATGACATGCAAAGGCTCAAAAATCAAAGCAGCCTACTCTTGTAAACTGAAAATAAGTAACATACACACGCACATAGGTATTTTTACTGCAGAAGTTGCCTTTGCTAACCCAGCACACCCCATAGCCTGCAAAAGGGATCCAGAACCATCACCTCCAAATAGAAACCTTTTCTCACGGAGCCTCTAGGTAGGGGTGCCAAATAAAACATCCACAGACTGTGCTCAGTGAGACTTTAATGTAAATCAGTAGTTTCCTAGTATAAGTGTCTCGTGAAATATTTCAGACTTACTTATACTACGAAATTGCTCACGGTTTATCCGAAAACAAATTTAGAAGCAGTCTCTGTGTTTTGCATATGATGCCTGGCACCTTCCCCAGACAGCTGATGCTTCCCATTCACAGAAAGGATTCTGTGGCTGCCAGAGGACAGCCAGAACACCCATCACCACAAGCCACCTGCGCCTGCCACAGGCACACTGCTACCCCTCCAGAACAGGGGCAGGGGTCTCAGGAAAGGGGTGGCCTCTCTGTGGGTCTGACTTCAGAGCGGCCAGGAGCACAGGCTGAGTGCTCACCCCTGAACCGTTACATTAACAGGAGACCCCAGGGAGGATGATGGTGCGTGCGCTTTTTGTGTCAGTGGGAACCCTGGGGTCTCAGGACCCTGTACCCTACTTGCTATAGAGGCCAGCAGACAAGGCTCTTGCTCTGTGAGCGCGAGTTTCCTCACTGACATGGCGCTGACTAAACCAAAAGGGTGTTAGTCTCAAGAAGCACCAGCAGCCCCTCAGAGAGGCCTTGGCACTGCTTTGCTCTAGGTGTCCAGGTGTGGTACCATGAAAGGAGAGGCCCCAAAAACTGCCAGCCTAACGCTACGAGCAAGTTGCTCTTAGGACCTAAGTTTCTAAAGGCTTGTCTTGTCCCAAAAGGGCGGCTCTGCCAGGATTCCTTTAACCAGCAGCTGACTAGGGGAAGGATGCTGCTGGCCCACTGCTTTTGTGGGTTCATGGGGAGCAGCCAAAGAGAGAGCAGACTTGTTGGACTCCAGTGCCTCTGGGCTACCACTGGCCCTCACCCACAGGGAGGGCAGCCTTTGGCTGGACAGAAACCCACTGTCTAGGGACCTTACCTAACACCCACCCCATTAAAACCAACGCCTGATGCTCACAGCTCCAGCAGAGTGGTTAGCTGTGTAAATCCCACCCATGCACAGGACTTTGGGAAGCTCTACCTGTCATATCCTGAAGCCCACCAGGCTCCCTCCACCATGAAGAGCTATGGAGGCCCAGACCAGACAGGTCCCTGGGTCACCTCTCACTTACCAAGGGCAGGCTGCAGGGGCAGGGGGCAGGGGCAGGGGCAAGGGCGGGAGCAGAAGACAAGGAGGCAGGCATTATGACATCATCACTGTTACCAAGGAGGCAGCAGGGCTGGTCTTGACCACCTTCAACCTCCCTGACACCGAGTCCCCCAAGATTCTACTAGCTGCTCAGATCCCAAGGAGCAGCACAGGTCCAGGCTGACCTCAAGGACTGACACCCTGACAGACCTCACTGGCCTAAGTGACCACAGACTAAGCTTCCAGGAGCTCTCCCTGAGGGCAGGAGCTGCAGCTCAGGGAAGGGAAGCCACCTCCAAGGCACTCACCAAGGGACAGGGTCACTGAGACTTGATGCTTCCTTGGGCCACATCTTCACGTATGGCTACCACTTCCCCACAGGAGGCAGAGGGTTGTATGCTGACCTGCCTGGCATCAGGTCAGGGGACTGCTCAGGGACACAAGGGGTGCCCATTTGCCACTGGGGCAGCTAACACACCACTGCCCCCAGCAAACTCAACTTCCCTGGTTCAGGTGAAGGGAAACACAAGGCACCAAGCAGATGTACTTACTTTTGCTTTGGCCTCCTAGGACAGCATGAAGGAAAAGCAGCAAGGTTAGAGGAATGGGAAAGACCAGCTGTGCCAGACAGCAGCCCAAGCAGGCTGGACAGCCTTTTGGAAGGTCTGTCAAGGTGGTGTAATGACAGGCGAGTATAGGACAGACCCACACCAAAATCCCAGTTGGCTGCCAGGTCCACATGCTTGAGGCAGTGTCAGTCCATCATCTCTTGAAATCCAATTCTTGGGGTTCCCATTAGCTACAGAAGGCCCTGGGAGACAAACAGGGACCATCATCGGAGCCACCCTATTCTCATTTTGAGGCCAAGGGAACCCAGGACAAGGTAAGCCAGCACCCACAGGTGCCCCCTGGAGGTGTGGAAGGGTCCTAGAAGATGACAAGAAAGCTATGAGGGGACAGGCAGCCCAGGCCCAGCCAGCCCTAAGCTGCAGGCCTGCTGCCAGCACAGGGCTCCAGCATGAGCAGCAAAGGCTCTTGCAGATTTGCACTCTCCCCAAGTGCACAATAGGATGGGAACTTCGGCCCAGCTACAGATATCTGAGGTCAAAAGCTTCCTGGAGGACATAAGTATGCACGCCTGCAGCTATCCAGAACAACAGCCAAGAAGCAGGATTCTCAAGTCCCAACAGGACAACTTTGTCACCACCTACATCTCTATACAAGGCTTTTCTCTCTCTCTCAAGGCTTATCCAGGAAGTAAATGGAGCATGCCAAAAAGAGAGCGGAGCGTGGGGAAGAAAGCCAGCTGCCAGAGAAGCAGGCTCATATTCACCAAAGTGAAGGCCCAGAGAGGTAAGTGGCCTGAGCAGCCCGTGCTTCACTCATGGATGTGGGCTGGACTCCTGGGCTGCAGGGGCCGCTACCAGAGTCCAGTTGTCAAGGCAGGTAGACAATGCCTGAGTTCTGAAGGACCCTGGCTCATGCAGGCAGTGCATGGGCTCTTGGTCCTGCTGAGGTGTCCAACCCAGCCCTATGGGGCCAACCAACCCAGCACCCAGAACTGGCAGCACTCAGAACTTGCTGAACGAACTTGTTGGTCAGCTGCACAGTCCGTGGCAAGACACCCTTAGCTGGAGGAATGAGCTCTGAGGAAGATGAGAATGTGACCTGCCACAGCTATATCGGGCACAGTGGCACAGAGGTCTGCAGGTGCCAGGGTGGATGAGCTCTTTGTTTCCAGGAAGAGCTGGTTCCCAGAGCCATACCCCTCCACACACCTCTGTTCCCAGATTACCCTGTTAGTCCCCACAATGGTGGGCTCCCACACTGTCCATCGTCCACAGGAATAGAAAAGAGTGAGGTGAGCAGGGAATGGGATTAGTCTGCCAGCCAGCTCAGCCCATGTACCCCCACCCCGGCAGCATCTCCCTCTGGGCTCACCTGGCCTGAGTCTGTGAACCAGTGCTACCCAGCAGAACTTTCTATGGTGTCCAAAAGGGCAGTTGCTAGCACTTGAAATGCAGTGAGGACGATGGAAGGGCTTTTTCAGTCAGAACAGCTAAGCAGCATTATCTGTGCACAGGAATGATGCCTTTGACCTTTTTTAGGGGTTAAATTCCACAGTCCCAAGTTCCTACTCAGTTGCTTCCCTGCCTGACTCCTGGATATTCCAATCCCTAGTCAGTCACCACTGGCCTGTCCTGTGGCAAGAAGGGCCTTCCACACCTTGAGACCCAGAGCTGACGATGACACTGCCCAAGGCATCCTAGTCCCAACAGCCTCCTTGCCTCAAATCCCATCGATTATCAGTTCTATTTTGTTCCCGCCTGTGGTACCCTGCCCTGACCCACAGTCTGGGGCTGCTAGACATTCCTGCTTTCTCACCCATTCCCTGTACAGCTGACAATACCTGTGCCAGACTTCGTATCTGCCTGGGGACTGGAGTGTAATTGAGGCTCAGAGTGCCCTGACCACCAAAAGTTGTCAAGTCAGTGAAGTGAGTAGCTAGAGACCCATGGAATGTTCTAACACCTGTACTTCACACAGATGTTGTGTTCCAACATGCACACATCATCTTAGGAGAAGGAAGGATCACACAAATGGTCAGTGCTAGCATTTCCTGCCCTCACCCCCATAAGGCTGATGCTCATGCCCAACACCCCAGAGTTTGCTCTTTTTGTCCACCAAACCCTTCTTTGCCCACCTATGGCAAGTTCTAGAGCCTCACCCAGCTTCCTAAGAACCAAGCCTGGAGGGCTGGCCTTGCATCAGGCTCCTTCAGAGGATAGGAAACCATTCAGAGCACATCCCAGACAGGAGAGTGGTTCCTGCTGCTCACACTCCAACTGCTCCTGAGCCCCTAGCAGCCCATGAGGAGATGGTGCTGTCCCCTCACTTCAAGATGAGGACAACAGGACTGGAGGTGTAGCTCAAGTGGTACAGTGCCTACCCAGCAAGCACAAAGCCCTGAGTTCGAACCCCAGCAGAACCAAAAAAAAAAAAAAAAAAAAAGGCCCACCATACAGCTGGGGAAGGGGATCTGCTCTTTGAGAGAGCTTCTTCCTCTTGATTCCATGTGGGTCAAGGCCCAGACAGTCCCTGCAGAAGTCGGCCTAGGTGCCTGGCTGGATCTGAGTTTACATGCTCCACCCCTCACCCCCACCACAGGCTGGACCTGGGCGGGGCGGGCAGAGTGTCTGAGATGCAGAACCCTGCTGAAGTAATAAGATCCGTCTCCCTCTGACTTTCAGACATCAATTTAAGAAGTATCCCTCCCTGTCAGGCAGGGGTCACCCCGAAGTTTACAGAAAGCTTTTCTGCTGCAGGTGGCCTTTTATTCCAGACATCAACCCTGATTCCCCACTTCACTTGCTCTGCCGCGAGCCTTTCCCATCTCCCTTCCCTTACAACTTCCGAAAGGGCTCATTTCTTAGAACACCACAACCTTCCCCTTCAACACCTCCTCTCAAGGAGACTGCCCAGACCACCTTATCCAGGTCAGATCCTGTTTCTTTTGAACTACACAATTCGTCTCCTTACTCTTTCCCGTGTTGGTGAACCATCTAAGTTCCACGAGGACTGCACCTGTTCCCGTCCCCTTGGTGCTTAATAAACATGTGCTGGACAAACACAAGGACTACAGATCTCAGCAACAACTAGGGAAGATGGACGCCATGGTCCACCAGGGACGCAAAGTCTGCCCTGGCCGCAGTGGCCGGGCAGACCGCAGGGCGGGTGCCAGGTTGGGCCATGCCCGGCTGCCGCGCAGTGCGGCTCAGAGCGCTCAGGAAGCCGCCGTCACCCTTGGGCCACGTGGCCGCCCGCCCCCCCCACCCCCGCCCCGTGCAGGCCCTGCCGCTTGCCCGCCGCCCGCGCTGGCCATTTGCGCCGGCCCTAACGGCGCGGGCCCTGACCCGTAGGGTTCTCTGGCGCGTGCGCTCCTTGCGGCGCGGACCGCGGTACTCACACTCCAGCCAAAGACGCAGCGACCAAGAGGAGGGATTGCGAGTGCTGGACTGCGGAGGAAAGGGTGGGTGCCGGCGCCGCACACAGGAAATGGAGCGGGGCGTACCACGGCAAACGGAGCGGGGGACACGGCCCTGCGTACGAGCCGTCTCCCCATCGAGACCCTGGGCACGATGCGTGCTGTAACTACCAAAGCAGAAGTCAATGGAGACCTCGGAGGACGCTCTAACCTGGAGGAGGTGTCACACAGAGCCGGCGACGAGAACGCAGCCCAGCCGTCGCCTCTCCGTAACCCACTGAGTGGAGCCGCCCGGGTACGACGGGGCGGAGCTGACGGGCGCTCGCGCCGGGTGAATTGCTCGAGGCCGACAGTGCGCAGGCGCCATTGGACGGGGCGGGGCCAAGCAGCGTGGAGGGGTGAATCCAGCACGCCTGCGCCGGCCGGACTGGCGAGACAAAAGGGAGGGACCCGGGAGGCCCCGCCCCCCAGCCCCGCCCCAAGCGGGCGTAAGGCTCCCGCGCCCCTGCGGCCCGCCGCTGCCACCATGTACCCGGTGAGTCCCCCGGCCGGCCCAACCCTGCATCCGACCCCGCACCGAGGCCACCTTCCCCCGCCCGGAGAGCCAGCCGAGGCGCCGCGGCCCCCGGAGCCTGTGCCGGGCCCCGCCGCACGCCCGCCGCCCTCTGCGTCCGGCCCGCGGCCCCGCGTGGCCGTGAAGATGGCCTTCCGCAAGGCCTACTCCATCAAGGACAAGCTGCAGGCCATCGAGCGCGTCAAGGGCGGTGAGCGGCAGGCTAGCGTATGCCGAGACTTCGGTGTGCCCGGTGGCACGCTGCGCGGCTGGCTCAAAGACGAGCCCAAGCTTCGCTGGTTCCTGGACCAGCTGGGCGGAGAGGTGGGCACGCAGCGGAAGAAGATGCGGCTGGCCAACGAGGAGGAGATCGACCGCGCCGTCTACTCGTGGTTCCTCACGCTGCGCCAGCACGGCGTGCCCCTGTCGGGACCAGTCATCCAGGCGCAGGCCGAGGCCTTCGCGCGCCAGATCTATGGGCCCGAGTGCACCTTCAAGGCCAGCCACGGCTGGTTCTGGCGCTGGCAGAAGCGCCATGGCATCTCCAGCCAGCGTATCTACGGCGAGGCCGAGCCCCCGGCCGCGGGACCCGCGCCCCGGCCGCCGGTCAAGGAGGAGTCCGCGCAACCCCCGGGTGTGGATCTCCTGCCCGACCGAGCTCCGGCCGCGCCGTCCCCTGCCGAGGGCGGCTACGGCGACGAACAGATCTACAACGCCAACGTCACCGGCCTCTATTGGAGGCTGCTTCCGGAGCAGGCCTCGCCCGCGGGAGCTGAGGACCCCGGGGCAGGAGGCTGTGGCCGGCGCTGGCGCGGCGACCGGGTAACGGTGCTGCTGGCCGCCAACCTGACAGGTAGCCATAAGCTGAAGCCACTGGTCATCGGGCAGCTGCCCGATCCACCCAGCTTGCGCCACCACAACCAGGACAAGTTCCCAGCCTCCTACCGCTACAGCCCCGACGCCTGGCTTAGCCGCCCGCTGCTGCGTGGCTGGTTCTTTGAGGAATTTGTGCCTGGAGTCAAGCGCTACTTGCGCCGAAGCTGCCTACAGCAGAAGGCGGTACTGTTGGTCGCCCACCCGCCCTGTCCAAGCTGGGCCACAAGGATGCCTGCCCTGGACGAGAGCGCGAAGACTCCCAGGCGGTGTCGGCCTGAGCCACTTGGGCCCCCAGAGGAGCTGCAGACACCCGATGGCGCTGTACGGGTCCTCTTCCTGTCCAAGGGCAGCAGCCGGGCTCACATCCCCGCACCTCTGGAGCAGGGCGTGGTGGCGGCCTTCAAACATCTGTACAAACGGGAGCTGCTGCGGCTGGCCGTGTCTTGTGCCAGCGGCTCCCCGTTGGACTTCATGCGCAGCTTCATGCTGAAGGACATGCTGTACCTGGCTGGCCTCTCCTGGGACCTGGTACAGGCAGGCAGCATAGAGCGCTGCTGGTTGCTGGGCTTGCGGGCTGCCTTTGAGCCTGGGCAGCAGCCTGTCCATCAGGCGGAGGAGGCTGCCGAGCACAACAGGGTGCTCAGTGACCTCACCCATCTAGCTGCCCTGGCCTACAAGCGCCTGGCACCTGAAGAGGTGGCTGAGTGGCTGCATCTGGATGATGACGGGGGCCTCCCTGAGGACCACAGGGGGGAAGGGGATCCTGTCTGGCCTCCTGCACTGGGCCCTGCCGCCCCTCCATCCCCAGCCAGCCTGCCCTCTAGCATGGGGGGCGGGGAGGAGGAGGAGGAGGCTACTGAGCGTGGAAGGGTATTGGTGGTGCCTACCGCGGGGGAGGCCATCTGGGGGCTGGAGACAGCTCTGCGGTGGCTGGAGAGCCAGGATCCCAGGAAGGTGGGGCCGCTCAGGCTGGTGCAGCTGCGCTCCCTCATCACCATGGCCCGGAGGCTGGGGGGCATTGGCCCTTCCCCAGAAGTTCCTGATGACGGAATGTGACCACCCTGGCCCAGTGGCCTTTTTCCTGCTGCACTGGGAGGGAGAGGACACACACAATCTGTCATCTCCCTTCCTCTTCTCTCCCTGGGGTGGTCCACTCCATGGTTTGGAAGGTTACAGGGGCCCAAGGTCAGCCCAACTTGGAGGAGCTCTGTTGGAGAAGGGTGTCTTGCCCCATGGCCTGCAGTCTTCCGGGGGGAGAGCTGAAAGAGAGGCCCCTGGCTCCCACTCCTCCCTGGACAGGTGCACACATGGGTTCCCCCATGCACACTGGGCACACAGGCACAGCCCCCACCTAAAAGCAGTTCTGGCCCCTGTGGGGCTCGCATCCATACCCCTCAGCCTGTCATGTGCACTGGACGTGGGCCCCATTCCTGTTCCCATCTGCAGCCCTGGTGCTACTGGTGCTAACTGTCCCATCATCTCAGTGGGGAGGCACGCCACTTAAAAAAAAAAAAAAACACATTAAATCTGTTTTAAAAGATGCTTTTCAGAGAAAGCCATGAGATCAGAGGCAGAGTGGGGTGGTCTCTGGGCTGCTCTGCTGTTGCTGGAAACAGCAGGCACCATGGTGCTGGATAGGAGCCCAGCGCCAGCCCCAGGCCCAGGCTGGCCTGCTCACAATGGAGTGGGAGGGGGAGGATGGAGCCCAGTACTTGCTGAGGTTCTGGATGCAGCGAGAATGTAGATTTATGTTCTCATTAACAAAATTCCATTCTGGACAGATCTTTTATTCCATGGCTTGTCAAGTGTTTGGATTTAGGCCTTGGCAGCTTAAATGGCCAGATAAGCTCCCCTGACTCAGCCAACAGACGACCACTTTGTCCGGCCCCAGCACTGGCAGCAAGCTAGGGACAATCTGCAGTGCCTTAGTCACCTCTCTCGTGGGCTCTACCTGTCCCAGCCCCCCTCCCAACTTTTCCACCTCCTGGCACTGCCAAGAGTGTGGTGGCTAAGGAGCTGTTTTTGGGTGGCCCAGTTTGAAAAAGGAGGAAAGGGCTCAAAGTGATTGTCCAGATTTCATACCACTCTGCTGCTCCATCCTGTTCTAGAGTCAGATTCCTGCTGGTGGTCTGGGTTCAAGAGATGCCGGTGCTTCTTGGAAGGGAATAGTTGCTGCCTTTGCAGAGATGCTGCCCTGAGTCCTCATGAGGAGTAGGAGGCAGAGTCAGAGGAGGCTGCCTGCCTCCCAGCGCCCTTCCATTGTCCTCACCTGCATGAGGTCCTATTGGTCTGAGCCTTGAGAACACCGATCGGGTGAGTGCAGGGGGCCTGCACACATGTGTGCACGGAAGGGAAGGCTGGTTTGGCAGTGGGACAGCTGGAGAAAGCACCTCCCAAAAATGATTTCCACACAGCTTCAAGAGCACAGCTCCTTGGAACTACTCCCCCTAGTCAAAAATTCACATACATGTTTTATCTCCAATCTGAGAGCTGAGTGAAGCTGTGGAGAATTTGGAAGCAAGAGAATTTAGGCTTGCCTCAGTGGAGGCTTAGGCAGCAGCCTCCATCTGTGCCTGCTGGGGCCCATCTGGCCACCTCCACATCCAGCCTCCCCAAGCCCACAGAGTGAGAAAGCCTTGGGTATTTGGAACTGGCTGATGGTCTCCAGCACACCTAGCTAGAGCTGGACTTTAGGAAGTCTAGTGTATTTATGCCAGCAGCCTCCACTTCGGCCTGGCACACAGGCTAGTTGGATCCCAGGGCTACAAGCACAGTAAGAGTTGCACATTTGGGCCTTGGCACACATGGAACCTGGGCAAGCCTCTGGCAGCTGCCCTTTGGCATGGCTTATCAGAGTTGCTCTTTCCATGAAGTTTCCATCTCTGACCTTTCTTCCTGGGCCCAGGTAGGCTGAAGTCAGCGGAGCTGGATCAGGAGCAAGTCCTCATCTGCCTTTCCATCTGTCCTACCCTGATCATCTGGGTATCCAAGACCCAAAAGGTGGCTGTGAACCCATATGGCCATTCTGTAAACAAGGCAGGTGTGGGCTGGCAGGATCTCAGGGAGCTCCTGTCGGGTGTGGGTGTGTATCCTGGTATTTGCTAGGCTGAGTAAACCCCAAGAGGGCTCAGAGTTTGGTTGAGAGTGTAACTCAGGCTAGAGTGCTTGCCTGGCTTCCCTGAGTTCAATACCTAGCACCTCAAAAAAAAAAAAAAAAAAAAAAAAACCTGTCTTTGTGAGCCAGGGGCCTGCAGTGCTGCACAGATGTTGCACAAGAACCTCAGCCGCAGAGGCTGCTGCTAGCTTGAAGCTACCCCACCTCTCTGCATGTCTGTAAAGCAGTAGTGACATCCCAAGGTTTCTGGGCCCCTGCTGGGTGACAGGAGCCTGTTAGGAGGGCCAGCTGCTCTTACTGCCCCTGGTCTTACACCTGGCCTGCCCCTCACTGCTGTTGCCCATGGCATTCAAGTTTGCCACTCCTGGCTTGGGATAGCACTAGAGCCAGCAACGGGATGGCTTCTCAGGCAGCCATTGGCTACCTGCTGGAATCCTAGAGCTCTTGCCCTGGAGATTTTTTCCTGTTCCTCATAAAGTGTGTGGGGAACCTCTGGGAAGTCTTTGTGACAGATAGCGGCCTCCTGGGCTGGCTGCAGGAAGGGAAGACGTGGAGCACAGATATTTGAGTGTAGATTCCATTGAAACCACCACCAAGCTGCTGTTTTCAGAAGGAAGTTGGCTTACCCCCAGGGTCTGTGCATTTGGAAAGTGGAGATTAGCTAAGCTACCATTGTAACAAATTGGCACAAGAGGAGGGGAGCACCTCAAGCTGGGGCCTAGCCCTCTAAAACTTGAGCCCCTTAACTCTCTACCTAGCTGGGATTGCCCAGGGGGAGCCCAGCTGGGGTCTGGCCCCGCTGAGTGTACCCAAGGGTGAGTCTTGACCCCAGTGGTTTGTCCTTGAGAAGATTTGGGGCTTGGGCTCATGCTGGGTTGAGAGGCCCTTCCTCATGTTCAACCTTGCTGACAGCTGAGTCCACTTAGCCAGATGGCCCAATGGCACTTAGTAATAAAGGTGGCACATGTCAACTTCATAAGTCTCCCTGTTTTAGTTTTATTTTTGTAACTCAATCTAATGCTTCAATCTAGAACACCCCCACAGACTGGGGGGCATAAAAGTGGGACAGTTTCTTTTTTGGGTTTTTTTGGTGGTACTGGGGTTTGAACTCAGGCTCTCACACTTGTTTAGCAGGCGCTCTACCACTTGAGCCATTTCACCAGCCCTGTTTTTTATTGGGTATTTTCAAGATAGGGCCTTGCAAACTATTTGCCCAGGGCTGGCTTTGAGCCTCAATCTTCCTGATCTCTGCCTCCCAAGTAGTTAGGACTGCAGGTGTGAGCCACGGCACCCAGCAACAAGTTCTGTCTTGAAAAGCAGTGACTTTAGTCTGGCAGCACACAATGACAAAAGAGTCCTGGCTGACAGGTTCACAGCCCCAAAGTCACCGTTCTTGAATAACCAGCCTGTGTCCTTGTCCCAGGCCACCATCAGTGGCCCTGGGGCTCCTGCTTAAGGCCAGAGTCAGGCAATGAGGGGGTATTTTCCACCTCCAAAGCTGAGCCCACTCCAGGCCAAGAGGAAGACAGGTGCTGGCTCACTTTCAACAGTGATTCTTGTGGCAGGTGACCCTTGGGTAGGCTGCCCAAGGAGTGCCTACAGGGGATGGGCTGCACCAGGCACAACCCAGGGGATGGTTACCTGCAGCTCTGTCATCCATATCACGTGTCTTCTCAGCCCGATAAAACGTCAGCTCACTCAGTGCTGAGGTAGCATCTTTATTTCCATTTCATAGATGAGGATCAGGTGTGAACTGGACCCAGGCTGGCCCCTGTGTCATGTGGCAGGGCCAGGGTCTGACCAAGCAGTCACTGGCTAAGAGCAGCCACCCATCAGCTGGGAATAGGGTAGATGTGGGAAGCTGAGGGCAGGAAGAGTGTGGCAGGGTAGCAGACTGCAGTACGGCAGAGGGAGTCAAGCATGAGGGACAGAACGTCCTGGTTCCGGCACATAAGTGCTATTAGTCCCGTTTTACAGACGAGGGGATGGCTTGTCTGTCACCCAGCTAGCACATGCCACTGTGGGAGCTGCCCCAGGCCACGCTGAGGGTGCTCCCGTCCAGTCTCAGGAGGCTGCTGGGTGGAAGCGAGGGAGGGTCAACACCTGGAGTCTGGAGAGCCGAGGTGGGGTGGGAGTGGGGGGGTGCAAAGGATAAAGGAACATAGGCAGTAGGCAGCCAGCACAGGTCTTTCCCACCAAGCCCTGGTCCTGGACCTTGCTCTTCTCCTGACCCTGGTTTTCCTGGCCTGCTGGTTCATTAAAGTACACACTGAAGAGCCAAGTCTCGAACACTGGTGGCTCCAGGGCCACAGACTCTCAGGGACTCCTGACCCAGGGGAGGGTGTTAGGGCCCAGCTCCACACACCCACAGGCCAGGAGCCTAGGGACTGCCTCCACCCAATTGGAGGCAGGAACCTGCTGTCTTCTCAGCCGCCGAAAGTCCAATCTTAGCAGTCCTTTCACCTGCCCACTGCCGCCTGGTACTGCTGAGTGCTACAGGAGACCCAGCCAGCGTGGCTCTTGGTAGGATCCCTGGGTGCAAATCCTCCTCAAGGTGGGAGACACCCGACCCCAGTGGCCCTGCAGCAGGCTGAGGCCTCTGGCTTTATGGAGGGGAGGGCATCTCAGACTCCATGTGTCCCCAGCTGAGATGAGAGGTGGCTTGGCTCTAGGCCCAGGGAACTGCTAGGAAATCCAAAGAAGGCCCAGGACTCCAGACCAGGCCCAGCACTCTTAGGACCAGCAGCTCTGCTCATTACCTCCAACTGTCCCAAATGCATGCACCTGAACAAGATGCCAGCTTTCAGGCTCTGAGACCCAATGTTGCCATTATGGTGGGCTCATTAGGGGTAGGGCCACCACCGTGTTGCAGGGGAGGTCTGAAGAGATGGGAGATGGAATTTCCCTGCGCAGGGGAAGGAGAAACACTTGTGTGGGATGGAGAGAGAACTATGGTCCTTACAGGGAGAGGTAAGAGGAGGGGGTGGCCTGGCCAGACAATGAGGCTGGTGCCCCACAAAGGGCTAATCTTGGCACTCGGGCTGTGACTGGATAAGCATCTATAACCTAGCCCTACTTTCTGCTGAGCTCCTTGGCCCGGCAGGTGGCAGCCTCCACGGCGCTCATGGTGGCCGCACGCAGGCCGCCCTGCTCCAGGGCATGGAGCCCGTAGATGGTGGTCCCAGCTGGCGTGAGCACATTTGTCCGCAGCTGAGCTGGGTGCTGCTCTTCCTGCTGAAGCATCTTGGCTGTCCCCTGGGGAGACAGAAAGGTGGGGTAGCCACATGTATCCCCAACCCTGGTCTGGGCTTTGCAGGTCCCATCCTCCTCCCTACTGAAAGTGGCATAAGCCTGGACCCTTCCTATGTTTCCCTGGGGAAACCCTCACTCACCAGCAGGGTCTGGGCAGCAATTCGGTGGGCCAGGCCACTGGGCATGCCCATCTTGATGGCACCTTCAGCTAGGGCCTCCGAGAATACGCACACCTGTAGCAGCAGCATGGGAGGGCAGTTAAACTCAGACACGGTTCCAGTCTGGAGAAGACTCAGAGCCAGCAGAAACAGGGCTCAGGGCAGGGCCACAGATGCCCAGAGTCAAATGTGGAAACAGAAAAGTTGTCAGGTTCTGCAAGAGGCCGACCAAAGCGTGAAATTCTAAGGGAGGACAGAACTCACAGGTGGCTCGAGGACCAGAACTCGAGGCTGGACTCAGCAGAGGCTATCATGGGGACTCAAAGGCTTTCTTTTCCTAAGGGCTTGCTAGGGGTTGGGGAAGACAATACTCACAAAGGCCACGCCACTACCACTGAGGCCAGTGTGGATGTCAATGTAGGCTTCAGGGACCTCCTCACACTGCCCACAAGCCTCCAGCAGGTTCTGCAGCAGTGTGACCTCGTTGCTCCCAGCATGGCGGCCCCGGGCCATCACCATGGCCCCTTCCTGAACTATGCAGGGCAGATTGGGTGAGACCCGTAGCACTCGTGTACTTGGGGGCAGCAGCTGGCCAGAGAGAGAGAGACATCAGAATGAGGCAGGCTGTGGGGGTGGGCCCTGCTACGCAGACACACCTCACCCAGCTGCAGGCCTCCGTCTCCACTTCTCAGGCACAGTAGCCCCATCACCTAACTCAGGTGTCAAGGCCTTACCACACCCCCATGGGTCACTCACCTCTTCCAGGGTGCTTAGAGAGACCCCAGCAGCTACGGACACTAAGATGTGCTCAGCAGTTACCACAGGGGCCACCTCGGCCAGGACAGCTGGCAGGACTTGAGGCTTGGTGGCAAAGATGACAAGTGAGCATCTCTGTAGCACCTCCTGATTGGAATGGGTGGTCTGGCAACCCAGAGCCTGCACGGGGACACCAGGGCCAAAACTGGGGGCTAGGTGAAGGGTATTCTCCCACACCACAGCCCTTTGTGCCACATGTTACCCTGCATCCCAGGGGCTCCCTCTGGTCTCTCCTGCTGCAAGCATCTGAACTAGCCCAGCTTCCAATGCCCAAGACTCACCCACTGGCCCTATTCCTCACAGACTCCCTGAATTACACCTCCCTGAACCCTTCCTCCCAATGAATGCCCACGCCCATCCCTGCCCACCCTAGCCCAGCATATCCACAACCTTGACTTCCTCCTAGCCTCTGACCTCCCCCGCTCCCGTAGCCCAGCCCAGCCCAGCCTTGATAGTCTCAAACCCTCAGCTAAATAAGCCACACTTCCCTGAAAAATGTGTCAGAGGAACAAGGCCTGAGCCTCACTCACCTGGAAGTGGCAGAGGTTCCTGTCTGTTGGTGCACTGGCTAGCACATGCTTAGCTTCCACTTTACCTGCAAAGAACGGCAAGGGGCAGAGGCGTTGTAAGGGATGGGAGGAGAGGGAACAGCCTGCCTGGCCTCTCTCACATTCAACTATGCTTGGCCCCTGCTGGCCTAAGGCTCTGCAGGAACCCAAAACAGGGATGTTTGTCTAGTTGGGGCCAGGCAATCAGATCCATTCAATTCTACCTGGCAGTCCACCTGTCTGCTGCTGGACACCAGGGCCAGGAACCTGCCTGGTCCTGTGAGGACAGAGACCCCAGGGTCCCTGCCTCCAGGAAAGGGATGGCTGCCTGGAGCTCTTAGGCTCAATGGCTGAAGGGCAGAAGCACAGGAGGAAGCACCAGGCCTGGGGAGGCTGACAGAGGCCCAACAGGGGCTGAGCTTCCTCAGGATGGGGCAAGTGTGCTGGAATATCCTAGGGAAGTCTAAGTGCCCATTTGGTAGAAACCATCTGCTTCCCACCTCCCCCCCTCCCCCATGCTTGCAAAGCAGGCACTCTACTACTTGAGCCACACTTCCAGTCCGTTTTGCTATGGTTATTTTTGAAGATGGGTCTTGAAAACTATTTTCCTGGGCTGGTCTTGAACCTGGATCCTCCCAATCTCAGCCTCCCAAGTAGCTAGGATTACAGGCGTGAGTCGCTGGTGCCCTGCTGGCTAGATTTCTGTAAGGGCAAGCAGGAAGGCAGAAGTGCACACCACAACTGAATGCAGAGCCAGTTAGTCATGTCAGTGATAGCCGCACACCTCAGTAGTGGCTCAACCCTCAACATACATGTCTCATTGAGTCTGCCCAGCTTCAGGAGGCAGGCGAACTGCCAGGTTTTACAAGTAGACACCTGAGATATGTGTCTTTAATAATCACTCTTTTGTGATTATTGTGACCCCTCTGGACTTTGAAGTATGGCTGGAGGCAGAGGGTCAAAGGTCACCTGTACTCTACACGTAAAGATTTCTAAATACTGGGCAGTAGTGTTAGAGCAGCATTATATCCCCTTCCCATCCGCAATCAGGGTGATTATTGCCCCCAATGCAGGAGACATCTAGCAGAGTCTGCAGGCACTTTGGCTGTCACAGCTCAGTGTGCCACTACCATCTGGAGAGGAGGAGGCCCAGGATACCAAAAATCCTTACACACACTGGATGATTATCTGTCCGAGAATGTCCACAGGGCTGTTGGTCGCAAGGAGTGCAGCCTGTGCACAATTAGAAAAAAGAATCCGATGCTCACAAACATCAACTTGACCAAGGCCATGAAGCCAGGAAGTTAGCACTAAGCCGACCCTACCTGAGGGAGATACGATTTGAGCCACGTTAAGAAGGTAAGAAGTGACAGCTGAAGGTCTTTGCGATTTTAACTCAATACATCCCAAAAAGTATTGATTTAACATGCACTTAACATAAAAAAGAAGTGTTAGGTTTTTTTGTTCTAAGCCTTCCTAATCGCCATGATCTTTATTCTACACACCCACGGCGCGTGACCAGCCCATTTCACACGCGGCTCGTGATCACGATCCAGCAGCAGCTCCGAGCGCGGGGCGCAGGGAGCTAAATCCGGAGCCGCAGGGTCCTCGGCGCGCCGCCAGCCCGGGACCTTTGAGGATGCAGCTCACCAGCCTTGGAGCAGGCCAGATGCACCCTCCCACAGAAGAGCCCCCCAACCAAGTCCAGCCGCCCCACCTGCTCGGATGAGGCCCTGCGCCATGGCCTCCGCCATGCGGCCTGCACCCACGAAGCCCACGCGCTGCCAGAAAGGGCCCTCGGCCGCCATCGCGCTCCGGGCTGGTCTGCAAGCGCCCTGCCAGGGCCGTGGGCCCCGCCCCCTCGCTGTTCATTGGCACGAGGAAGCACAGATTTCCTCACCTCCCATTGGTGGAGATGAATGGTGGGCGTGGCTAAGAGACACCGAGAGCCCGGCATCTCCGGGTCCCGGCGCGCCCTAAGTGTTACACCCCGGAAGCCAAGGCTGCAGGGTTGTGGGCGCGCCCGTGCGGATCAGACCGTCATTTTTTGGAGCGGAAGCGTCAAGAAGGGTGAGGAGCTGGTTCTAAACATGCTGTCTGCTTCGTCCTGGGAAACCCAGCTTGTAGTTTTTCCAAAAGGAGCGCAAGGAGATTTTTGTAAGGAAATGGTCCAAATCATCCCAAGATGGGACTGGTGTGTGATTCCAAAGACGCACTTAATGCCAGGGTGATCAGTACAGCATTTACTAGGGGAATGCTGTAGTTTGGATCTTGAATGCTCCCCCAAAGGCCTAGGTATTAAAGGCTTGGCCCCCGTTGGAAGGTCTTTTGGTCACTGAAGGGGACTGGGGGACCCCAGCCCCTTCCTCTTTCACTGAGTGAGGGGAACAGATTCGCTCCGCCGCCACTCCCACCATCACCACCAGAGTCCTAAGAGCAATGGGTCTGCCCTACCACGAACTGAAACCATGATCCAAAATAAACCTTTTCTCTTCGTAAGTTAATTACCTTAGGCATTTGTTACAGTGATAGAAAGCAGACCAACACAGAGAATTAGAGAATGAGCTGCGGCATCCTCACCACAGTCAAGGACAGGATGTTCAACCCAGGGATATGGGGGAGGGTGGCATTTATATGAGGGTTTAGGGAATTGGCTCAGGACAGAGTCCATTTCTTCCACTGTTTTGGGCAACAACCTAAATACTGTTATCAGTGCCTGGAAATGCCTGCGGCTGCCCTGTCAGGACTCAGAAGGTGAGTGGCCCAGCTCTCCTGAGGTCCTAGTCACCCAGTCACCCAGCATCCCTATGGGTCCATTCTTACGCTGAGTATCTAAATTCAGAGCCAGCCTCTTTCCCCAAGGTCCTCAGGCCTAAAGCGGGAAGACCCTGGTGAGCTCTGGTCACCCAGGTCTGGGTGTGGCTGTATGTGGAGGGGCTGGGCACGGCCAGGATCCCACTTAGACTGCTAGGGTCAGTGCCTTGGCCCATGCCTCAGCCCACTCATAGTCTGTGCCTGACCCGCACTGCCTGCTTCCTGCTCCTACATTTTCAGAGACTTTGGCCCCAGGCCCAGCAGCTCAGTGGGACTGAACAGTGCTCAGGAAGACAGTGGATCCTAGGACTAAGCAGGCCAAGAGGCAGTGCTGGGCGTGGGGGAGGGCTGGACACGGAGGTGCTGAGAGCAAGCCTGTGAAAATGCATTTTATTAGTCCCCAGATGTGGTACAGTGGGACCAGAGTAGAGCGACTCAGGCCTTGGTTTCCCTGAGGAAAGACACACATGGGTCCCGCTGGACAGCTGCCTGGATCCCTCTGGCACAGAAGCTGGAACGTGACCCAGTTGCTGGGCAGCACCCTCACCTCCTGGCAAGGTCTGAGGGTGGTGGCCCCAGGGCTTTGCAGGTTAAGCACCTGTTCCTGCTGCACAACTTCACTTCCGAGCCTGCTCGTAGTTGTCAGTGAACCAAGCACAGGTTTCCTTCACAGCTGGGGAGGCAGACAGGTAAGGTCTGGTGAGCAGGTGGAGGCCGCAGCTACAATAACCCCTGGGGTAGGTGGGGAGGATGGAGGCCCCAGGGACATCACCCCCTCTGAGCTTTAATGTCCTGCCTTCCCAGAGGGTACAGGTTCTGATGAGGGTCTGGTGACCAAGCCTGCAAGGCCCCCCACCCCTTTGACACTATAAGGAAGCTGAGGCCACAGCAGGGAACACAGAGAAGTGAAGGGGGTAGTAAAGCCAAGGAAGGGCCAGGGCAGGCTAGGAGGCCTGCAGGTGAGGGCTACCAAGGAGAGGGCTATGGGAAGAATAGGAGCTCACCCTGCTTGAAGGGTGTGAAGCGGAAGTCAGGCAGGTAGGTCCGGAGCTTGCTGTTGCTGGCAGTCTTCTTAAACTGCCCATCTGACTTGGTTGTATCAAACTGGGCATGTTGGTCAAGGCCACAGCAGAAGGGCATCACCCACACCCCCACCCCACTTTGAACTTGTCTGTCCCTGGCAGAGGCCTAGATCAGCAAACTGCCCCCCTGCTGCTACAACAAGCGTCACTAGGACGAAAGAGTTTAAGTCAGCCAGCCTACATGGGCGGCCTCGCCAACACCTGCACCTGGAGCCAAGGATACGGTGACGTCTCCATGGAAGCCCATGGCCTCCACCACGGCCTCAGCTGCCTCTGTGATGGAAACCTCCTCCTCCTCACCCACTGTGGGGAGCAACGGCCAGCAGCCAGTCGGGCCTCCTGCCCAGACCCCAAGGGTGTTCCCGCTCCCCCTCATCGGCCCCCCAGGACACTGTGGGGAACGGGCTTCAGGGAACCCACCTGAGAGGATGATGGGCTCCACCTCACTGTACTCCCTCAGGACCCAAATGAAGAGCCGGGCCAAGTCCTAGAGGTCAGAAGGGCGGGTCAGGCCCCACAGTGGCGGCCAAATACCCCTGCGGGGGAGGCCACTCTGCTGTCTCTGCTCCGTGGGAGCACGGCCAGGGCTCGGCCCAGATGGGGTCCCTCCTTCAGCAGCCCTTTCTCCTTCGGAGCTAGAGCTGCACCAGGGACTCCCCAGGGACAGACACCTACAGGGACTCTGAAAAGACCAGGTACTGCTCCCCTCACCCCTCCCAGACTCCTTCATGCTACCGCCTCCCCCACAACCCAGCAGGGCTGTGCTCCTCCTACACACACCAGTGAGTAGATGAACTGCCTCCGCGGCTTTCCCGTTCCCCACACGGTCAGAGCTGAGCCGCTGCCTACAGATGGAGGACAGGGACAGGTGTCAGAGCACTCCAGCCATGACCAGCTCCACCCAGCTGGGCCCAGGGACCCTATCGGGGGATAACCTGGGCCAGGTGTATGCTGGGCATCCGCACTCACTCTTGGCCAGATGCACCTTGTGAATAAGGCCCGGCAGCACATGGCCGTCCTCAATGTTGAAGTTGTCATGGGGCCCAAAGACATTGGTGGGTATAACCGCAGTGAAGGTACAGCCATGCTGCTGGAAGTAGGCCCTGCAGAGGCACAGCATCTCCTGTCCCCATCCCCGGATGTGCTCCCCACCCCCTCCACTGCTGGCCTCTTCCAGATGCAAAACTGAATCAGCAAGAAGGCCAGCTCTGTACCCACCCACCAGTGCTTGAGCCCTCTTCCCCCTCTCCCAGCCAGGCCTGGACAATGAAGGAGGACCTGTTCTGCACGTCAATCATCCTCTTGGCATATGAATACCCAAAATTGCTGCTGTGCGGTGGCCCATTGTGGATCTGGGGGAGCAGGAGATGCACTTAGGTCCCCCACTTCCTGGCTCCACCCACATGGTCAGACCCCACCCCCCAGAAGGCCCTGCTTCCTCACCATGGTCTCATCAATAGGATAGGTGGTCTTGTCAGGGAAGATACAGGTGGATAGGCAGGAGACCACCTTGCAGACACCAACCTCGAAGGCCGAATGCAAAACGTTGTCGTTGATGTGCACGTTCTTTCTCTGCAGGAGTGGAGTGGGGGCAGATCAAGTAAACCAGGGAGGACCCAAGCTTTTTCCTGGTCCTCTAGGGACAGAGGTGAGGACACACCCTAACCCTCAGGGATGGGCAGAAGCTGTGCCTGTTTGTCCTAACTGCTCCCAGAATAAGGCAAAGGCCCCAGCCATGACCTTACAGAAGCCACACCAGGGCCACAAGAAGGTCCCACCCTACCTGCCTGAGTGTGAGGAAAGGGCCATGCCCATGGGGCAGCCAAAGACCAGGAAAGTGGTAAAAGATGGGAAAAGAGCTAGAGCCCAATCTGGCCCTGGGTGGGGCTCACACTACATGGGCGAACGGGCCCCTTTACTACCCCACCCCAGAAGAGTCAGGTCCAGCTCTACTTCCCAGTACCCTGCCCTGCCCTCTCCAGGCTCCAGGTTCCTTCCCTAAATTGACATGAGGGGGCCAGGGCAACTGGACTTGTCTCAGGACAGAGGAAAGGTGGGAGCCTCAGCTGGAAAGGAGGGCTCTGGGTGACAGGATCCCTGTGTAAAAACTGATGGGAACCTGTGCTCACCCTAGTGCCTGGTACAGGTCAGTCAGGCCAATGCTGCTGCTCTGAGACAGATGGGCCAACCCTCAGGGGCACAGCCAACACAGGCAGGGCCCTCACATTATGCCCCTTCTCAGGTGGCACATGACAAAGACACTCTTGCACCCTCGAGTGCATGGTGGGCCTAGCCCAGGGGAGCTGGGTGAGCACCAGCCTGGAAGCCCAAGAAGCTGGCATCCCAGAGGGCTCAGGAAGCAGGATCCACCTCTCAGCCACATAATGATGCTGGCTTCTTTCAGTTCCCCAATCCTGCAGGCCAGCTCCACAGCTTTTCTAGGGCCAAATGCCCCCAGGCCCATCGGCATGCCCTCTGCCTATAGCACCAAGTGTGGGTCTCTGGGAGCCCCCCAGAGGCTGTTTTAACAGGCTGTGCCAAGGCCTGAACCCTGGACTTCCTGGGGTGTCAACATGAACCTGTGAACACAGGAGGCCTGCCAAAAAGTTCCAGAACTGAGCTTCTGGCTCCAAGTGCCTGGCAATGCCAACTTACCCAGAAGTCTAAATTGTATTTGATATTCCGGAACAGGCCGCCAACCATTGCAGCAAGATGGATGACATGGGTGGGCTGGACCTTCTGGAACAGGGCTTGGGTCTGTGCTGCATCCCTAGGAGAAGCCAGGATGTCAGGGGCCCCATGGAGGCCTGAGGGAATAGCACCCTGGGGTTGGAGCAGTGGGGGTGGGAGCTAGGTAGGGTCAGGCCAGGAGGGGCAGTCAAAGGGCCAAGTGGCCAAGTTCAGTGGTAGCAGGTGTTAGGGCGTAGGCTTTCTGGAAGAGATGGGAGGATGTTTGTCCAGCACACCAGGGCCAGGTCAGCCATCTGGCAGGCAGGACACAGACTCCTGGCTACCGCCAGGCTCAGCTCAGAAATAGACCCAGCCTGGAGCTCTGCAGTCTGGAGAAGGGATGGAGAGGAGGAGGATGCTCTGGAGATTGCATCGACTCACGTGAGATCAGCATCTTTGGAGGAGACAAACACCCATTCCTCTCCAGGCAGGCGGGCCCCATCTGCAACCACCTTCTGGATGGCTCTGCCCACCAGTCCAGAGCCCCCTGTCACCAGGATCCGCATGGACGCCTGGGGCTCACCCATATTGGCTGCACCTGGAGGGCCAAATAGTGTGAGACCAAGACCACCCATTCTCCCATACCCCATTCCCCCAGGCAATGGGCAACAGGCACAGAATCAGGAGGAGATACAGGACACAGGCCCATCTGGACTGATTCACACCACCTGCCAGCTCTGTCCCCCAGGAAGGCCTCGGCTTAGGGATCAGAGCAACTGGTCCCAACTCACGACCCCACAGGGCTAAGACAGGGTACAACATACTCCCAGCTGACTCAAGGGGAGGCAGACACTTTGGGGCTGGAGGCTGTGGGCGCAGATGGTGGGGGCTGCCCCCACAGCTCATACGCTACAGTCAGGTGAGTGGTAGCGCACGCCCTTGGAGCCCCGTGCCCACCCATGACTGGCTAGTCCCCGAGGGCTTCGGGAGCCTGTATCCTCCCCGGCAGGTCGCGCCGCTGGCCGGACGGCCTGAAGACGCCGCCACCTTCGAGGGCCCATTCTGGGAATCGGAAATCTGCTCAGGCCCCTACAGGACGGGTCCGGGTAGGCGGCAGGGTCCTGCGGTCATCCTGACAGGATTGGGCCCGGACCCGACATCCGCCTGTCCCTGATTGCGGGCGGTTCAGCGAAGACCCGTGGAGACCCCTAAGGCCAGGCGCCCTCCCATGGCCCGACCTATTCCCTATAGGGACCCTTGACTCGCTGCGCCACGTCCCCGGAGGTCTCCTAGAAGTCTCACGCAGTCTCACCTGCGCCAGGCTCCACCTGCCTGGAGAGCTGTTTCCGGCTCGGGGAGCCTCCAGCCACGCGCGGGCCAGGTGGAGAGGGCGGGGCCCTCCCGGGGCACGCTGGGAAATGGAGTCTTCGGCCTGCGCCCGCGCGTCCCCGGGCGCTCTGGGAAATGTAGTCCTGCCGCTCCACCCAGGGTAGGCAGTCGGATCACCTCATGCCGCCAGGTCCCAGCCCTGCTGGGGATGTTGGGGGCATGGAAGCGAACGGACCCCGGACCCCAGCGCCAGGGCGCACGCAAGGGACGACGGCCGGGTGGGCGCCGCGGGCCTTTACCCAGGACAAGCGAGGCCCGTCCCGAGCTGCCCGTCAGAGCTAGATCGGGGCTTCCGGCCAGGGTCCCCGCTCACGCCATCTGTTTGGCGGACTAGGCAAAGCAGGTGAGGACAGATTGGCCCGAAGGCGCCCTCGGCTGCTCTTCCCTCGGCTCCCCAATATCCCAACCCACGATACGCCTGGAGGTGCACACCTCCCCAAGATCCCACTCCTACTTCCCTAGCATCCGCCCCAAAGTACACACCTCCTCCTCCACCGCTCGTGCAGCGGCCACACGCTGGCACCTCCAAGTGGCCGGTGCTTTTGTGCACAGGCGTCGCCGCTGCACGAATGGGATCGCTGCGCTCCCCACCGCAGGAACGCAAAGGCCGCACCGCAGGAATGCACAGGCCGGGGGTAGGCGCGCGGGGTGGTCTCCAAGGTGGTCAGCGCCTGATACCGCAGTCCTCATCCTGCAGGGCTGACTGACCATTGCTTGCTGGCCTTTCTGCCCTTCTGTGAGTGGCCAGGCCAGCATCCCTCACTAGACTGCAGCACTGGCCTATCTAGGGAGGCTGCAGATGGGCCATGTCACCAACGTTCGTGTGTCCCAGGCAAGAGTTCACAGGAGGCTAGAGTATTTGAAAGTAATGAGTGGAGAGCCAGTGGTTAACTGTTCTCGCCCTATTTCCTTTTCTTGTCTTCAAATTCCAGCAAATCACCAATTATCTTGTTATAATAACAAGTTGTCACATAGTATGTACTCGGAACAAAATGATACAATAGTCTTTCTTAAGTCATTGTACTTCTTTTCTTTTTAAAAGTCGGCTCAATTTGGGGGCTTGGAGGCATGGCTCAAGCAGTAGTAGAGCACCTGGTTACCAAGGACAAAGACTGAGTTCAAACCCCAGTCCTGTCAAACAAATAAAATAAATAAATATAAAACTTGGTTCTACTGTTCTATTGAAACAGTAAAAAGGGAAACTGTCAATAAAACCCATGAAGCAAACCACATGTGTTGATCCACTCCTGTAATCCCAGTACTCTGAAAGTAAGGCAGGAGGATTCTGACTTCCAGCCAGCCTAAGCTATATAATGAGACCCTGTCTCAAAGAAAGAAAAAAATTCATAAGGCATTACTTTTATTCAGAAATAAGCCATAGACTATTTAGCATGTTCCTACATTTTAACAGAACACAAGTGATAATTTATTAGTATTGCAGAAACTATGCTAAATATTTTACAGTTCAGGCAGCTTTCCTGTTCTAATAATTAAATTTTTGAACATTGAAATGAACTAGGAGTTACGCTATTCATTTGCCTCCCAGACTATAAAAAAGAAAAAATATATAACCTTTATAGAGAGCTGTTCTGCCTTAGTCTGTTCTGGATGCTAAAACAAAATGCCATAGACTAGGTGGCTTATGAACAACAGAAATTTCTCACAGCTGGAGGCTGGGAGGTTCAAGAATGAGATGCTAGCAGATTTGATGTGTGGCGAAGGCCAGCTTCCTGGTTCATAGCTGGTGCCTTCTTGAATAGTGGAAGGGGTGAGGGGGACTCTCAGGCTTCTTTTTTTGAGATTGGGTCTCTCTATGTTGCCCAGGCTCCTAGGTTCAAACCATCCTCTTGCCTCACCTCCTTTGTAGCTGGGACTACAGGCAGGAACCACCTTGCCCAGCTTCTTGAACCTTTTGTAAAAGGATACTACTCATTCAGAAGGGTTCTGTTCTTGTGACCTAATGACCTTCCAATGACCCTACCTCATCATACCATCAGTTTGGGAGTTCGAACTTCAACTTGTGGATTTGGGGGACACGAACAATAGCACCATCTCTTACAACAGTAGACCATTTCAACCGATGCAGAGAAGGCATTTGACAAAACCCAGCATGCTTTCATAATAACACTCAACAAACTGGAAATAGAACCTCCTCGGTCTAATAAAAGGATTTAGGAAAAGCCCACAGTGAACTCAGTGATGGAAGATCAAAAGCTTTCCCCCAAGCTCAGGAAAAAGACAAGGATGCCCACTTTCCCCACTTCTAGTCAACTTTGTACTAGAAGTTCTAGCCCAAGCAACTTGACAAGAAAAAGAAACCATCAAGAAGAAGAAGGAGAAAGTAAAAGGAGGAGAAATAAAGGGTCTCTAAATTGGAAAGGAAGAAGTAAAGAATCCACAAGAAACTGTTATAGCAAAATGACAAATTCATTAAAGTTGCAGGGATACAAGATCAACACATAAAAATCTCCTGTGGTGCATGCCTGTCATACCAGCTATTCAGAAGGATTCTGAGTTGGAGGTCAACCTGGGCATAGTTAATGAGACTCCATCTCAAAATAGCCTTCCACCCCTGCAATCAAAAAGCAGCTGTGGCTCTGTGCTATTTGCGTGGCCGTGGCCTCAACGATGGCCACAGTTGACCAAGAACCAGGGAGCAGAGGCATAGCCGGGCTGAGGGTGCCTCACCAAGCACCCCAGATTCATGCAGACACTGTATGAACAGTGGGCCATAGAGCCGCCAAAGTCTCCAAGCACAAGCAGGCCCTCAGGTTCATCAAGAAAAGAGTGGGGTTGCACACCTGCGCCAAGAGGAAGCTCGAGGAGCTGAGCAACACACTGGCGACCAAGAGGAAGGCGGCTGCAGAGAAGGACTGAGGCCTCCCCACTATCTCCAGAATCAACGTCTACATTCACATATACACCCGCACCCGCACACAACACACACAAACACACATACCCCCCCCACAACACACACACATACAAACACACACACACAGCCACACAACACACATACACACACAACACACACAAACACAACACACACACACACACACATACACACACAATAAACACACACACAGCCTTGGCTTCAATCCCCACTATGCAAAAAAAAAAATTACTTGTGTTTCTATATTTCTATATACTGGAAATAAAAAAGAAAATTAAGGGAACAATTTATAATAGCACCAAAAAAACCAAAATACTTAATAATTTTAACCAAGTTAAAATTCTTGTACATGGAAAACTATAAAACATTGGTGAAAGAAATTTACAAAGACCTAGTGAGTGGAAAGACATCCAGTGCACACACAGACTGGAAGACAATGCTGCTTATGGGGTATATATGATTCCTGGAATTCCCTAATGCATTTTCTTTGTCATAAGGAGCCCATTTTGACCACACCTGAGCTTATGCTAATGTGCTCTGCTACTTGAGCCCCACCGGCCCTGTCACTTGTTATTATAAAGTACACAACTGAGAAACAGCTGAATGGAAAGACTCATAGGGCCAGGGAAGGGGCTTCCCTCCCTCCCAAGCATTTCTGTGTGCTCATCTTGGAAGCTTATCACAACCTAGAAGTCTATAGGTGGGGCTGTCAGTTACACACCTCCATTCACTTGGTCTGTCTGGTTGTTGCTCCCCTCTGGAGCTACCAAGGAGCTCTGCCCTAAGTTCAAACCCCAGTCTTGTCAAAAGAAAAAAAAAAATCAAACAAGTAAATGTCAATAACATGCCTTCCTGTGTTAGTCAGTTTCCATTCCTGTACCAAAATGCCCGAAATAACTCCGTTAAAAAGAGCAGAGGTTTATTTTGTTTCACAGTTTCAAAGGTACCAGTCCATGGCCATTTGGCTCTGGTGGGTTTTTGTTTGTTTGTTTGTTTGTTGTTGGCAGTAAGGTTTGAACTCAGTGCCTCGTGCTTGCTAGGCAGGCACTCTACCACTCGAGCCAGATCTTTTTTTGTGTGTGTTGGGTATTTTCCAGACAGGGTCTTATGAAGTATTTGCCCAGGCTGGCTTCAAACTGTAATGTAGAACTACAGGTGTGAGCCACTGGCACCTGGCTGGCCCTGGTGCTTTGGGTCTGTGGTGAGGCGCCCATGATGGGAGGGAGTGTGCAGTGGGGCAAGCTGCTCACATCGTGGCATTTACTCTCACTGTTGGTATCAAACTTTTCCCACATGGCAATGTTACCTGAACCAATCTATAGATTGAATACAACTGCCACCAAAATTCCAGTGTTCTTTTTTGCAGAAAAGGAAAAAACCAATCCTTAAATTCATCTGGAATCACAGAATAAGCAAAATGGCTTTGGGTTTTGGGGTTTTTTTTGTAGTTGTTGTTGTTGTTGTTGTTTGATGGTTCTGGGGTTGAATGCAGGGCTTCACACTTGCTAGGCAGGCTCTCTACCACTTGGGCCACTCTGCCAACCCTTTTTTTGTGTTGAGTATTTTCAAGATAGGGTCTCGTGAACTATTTGCCCAGGCTGGCTTCGAACCGAGATCCTCCTCATCTCTGCCTCCTGAGTGACTAGGATTACAGGCGTGAGCTACCAGTGCCCAGCTGCAAAATAACTTTGAAAAAGAAAAACACAGTGAGAGGATTCACATTTCCTGAATTTCAAAACATACTACAAAGTTTTATTAATCAAAATAGTATGCTCCTGGCATAAGGGTAGACACACACAAATGAAATAGAACTGAGAGCCCAGAAATAATACAAAGGGCTGTACCCATTCAATATCCAGAACATAAAAATAGCCTTTCCAACTTAACAAAAGACAAACGACCCAGGACTTGAACAGATATTGCTCCAAAGAAGATATCCAAATAGCCAACAACCACCTGGAAGCATGCTCAACACCAGCTGGGAAGGGTGGCACATATCTGTAATCCCAGATATCTAGGAGGCAGAGCTAGGAGAATCAAGGTCTGAGGCTGGTCCAGGCAGAGGTACCGCAACACCCTATCTGAAAAGCAAACTAGGCAGTCTGCATTGTAGTGCGACAAAGGAACAGGTG